TGTGAACCATTGTATTGAGTTGGTTGACTTCTGCAAGTACGTTTTTTCTTGCTCGTTGTGTAAAGTCTACCGAATATACATATCGTGAATGCAGGTTTGGTTTTTCCACAAAGTCAAAAACAGACTGTTTCATTGATTTGTAAATGTTTTGTTTCACGATGAAAGTTCGCTTTCTTAATTTAATCAGATTTTGTTCCTTCTAATATTTACATTCTCGATTATTCGGACCCTTGATTATCTGGACTATTTCATTTAGTCCCAACGAGTCCGAATAATCGAGGTTCGACTGTACTGCATGTTTGTTTAAACGACTGAAACGACACGAACAACATCAGGAACAACTTTACCAAGCTAAATCTTGTAACACACACCTTTAGTTAATTTATTAATTAGTATGCCTGAACGACTCTTCTTCAAAGATAGAGAAAGCTACCAGAAAATAAAAGATTTCTGACCCATAAAACGAGAGTGGAAAGGTTCGGATGTCCCATCTGAGTAAGAAAACTTTGCGCTGAACATAGGGTAAGCAAATTCAGTGAAGAGAGTAGCGAGAAATACTTCAATGGAATATCGTTATTAAAATTCTTTGCATTTTTCAAGCAAGGTCTCTGAATAATTTACTTCGTTGTTGTCCATCTAAAGCGACCCTTTTATTAATTCTAAGCACAAATACAGTAGCATTTTCCCATTACGGAACAAACTGCCTGCGATTGAAACGACTCGATCGCGAACTACAACAGAAACGACGTTACCAATCTTCATCCAATACTGCATAGTTAATAAATAATTGGGGCATTAAGAACTCTCCTAGAAAGAGAAATTAAAATACCACCGAACAATGAGAGCTTTGTTGTCTCGCTAAACAGGAGTTCAAAGGTTCGAAACTGTTGTCTTCTAGAGACAAAAGGAATGTTCACCTACGCACGTAAATTCTGAGAAAAACGCAACAAGAAAGACAAGGATCCAGAAATAGTTTTTAGGCAAATTAGACGACTAGTAATATTTACTTCAATAATACCCATCTTATGCGATCCTTTTTAAACTTGGAGAACATATTGATGGTACTTTTTTTATTTTTCCGTTGCAGTTGTAACAGCGTTTTTTACATAAACAATAACCTCATCAATCTACGCCGTTAATATTTCGTACTGTAAATGTTTCGTATCGATGAATGCGCTTTAAGAATTCTACTCGAAATCTGCAGAACTCAAGAGTTCGACTGGCCTCAAAACGGGATCGAGTTAAAAGGTAGGGAAATATCTCTAAGAAGCAATATAGACAAAGACGACTCAATCAATATTGCAAGCGATGCACGCAAATTTCAAGACGAGCGCAGTTGTCTGCATTTGAAGCAAGTTACGACTAATACGACTAATACGACTAATTTGTCTCTTATTGGCCATCTGATCTAAAACGTTTTTGACTTTTAACGAAATTAGCCGCTCTTTCAATCTATTTGGCACGCAGTTATCTTTCAAACGATTCAGTTTTACGGCAACCCAATTTGATTAAAATTTCCAAGAATTTGATATCTATGGTGAGTCTTATCCTCACTCAAAACTACATACGTGACGGTTTCTCTCCATAAGTCACTCTTTCGGTAGATTTTCAAGCTTCGATAGAGGCATGCGTGAGTCAGGCGAATAAGATGCGTTTGGATTTAGTCTGCTCTTACTTCGCTAAATTCCCATGAAGCCACTTTTACACCGAAAGCCTTAATTTCAAGACTCAATAGAAGTAGTAACTCTTACCTTTTGGTGGTGAAGTTAATGTTTGTTGCGGAGAGGTTGTGCAAAACCGAAGTGAAACCCCAGCGGAGTGAATCAAGGCTAACTCAAATACTACGACAACGCCTTAGCTACGCGGAAGTACTCGTTCACGGATAAGTAACCAATCCATCCTTTGTTAACCTCGAACTAAAGGTAAACAGAGGGCTGGGCAGACAGCTCACTGTCACTTTGCGAGGAGAATGGTGAAGAAATTACGTGCGGACTTTGAACAGTTTTTAGGACTGGCTAAGGAGCTCTGTAAATTGATGGCTTTTGCTTGATATGTTGGGCGTCAGAATGAAAAAGTATCCGATCACGGATAAGTACCGAATAAATTCTCTGTTAACCGTGAACATAAGGTGAACAGAGGGCTAGGCAGACAGCTCACTGTCACTTTGCGAGGAGAATGGTGAAGTAATTACGTGCGGACTTTGAACAATTTTTAAGACTGGCTAAGGAGCTTTGTAAATTGATAGCTTTTGCTTGATATGTTGCGCGTCAGAATGAAAAAGAGGACTTTTATCGATTTAACGAGGCCTATATTCTAATTGAAACTGGTATTTGAACTGTCCTGATCTTTTTATTGAAAAGGTGAGGTATCCCAAAATCATTTCGATTTAAAATTTCAGAGAGCTGTCCTGTGTTAAAAGTTTGTGCCTTTCTTTAACTGCTCGTTGTTAAACATTTCCCATTGGTTAATGCTAATGTTGTTTGGCGTTTATTTATTTCCTTTGTTAGAATAAACGAATTTATTATCGTTGATAAAAATGGGAGAAAAAATACCTCACTTAAACGAGCTGTTACTATGAGAAAAAGGCACATGTATAAACAATAGACCTGTCAATTAAAAATATAAACAATTTTAATCATTTTAATTAAAACAACTTAAAAGTTGTTTTAACAAAAAAAGGTCGAAAAGGTAAAAATTGGGACGGGTAAGAATAGTATCCGGTTAGATCGCACCGTGGTTAGATCGCTCCCAGTTAGATCGCTCCAACCAAAAGGTAGATCGCTCCATCAAATGAGTGACTTCGCTCCCAACATAAGTTACTTCGCTCCATGTAGTAATGCGAAGTATTACTTACCAATGATCACTAAACACCACAACAGACAGAGACCTGTTTTGGGACCAAACAGTTCATCAAATGTATATATCCTACGAATAAATAACACTCTAGACTATTACATAAAATATATTGGACGAATACACTAAACCAAGCCACCCAGTTATCGATGCCTAGATTCATATAAATAGACATTAATATTCACTTAAAGTATATAGGTGATAATGTGTCTTGCGACGATTCGAGTACATCGTATTCACTCTGTCCTTCAGATCAGCCACCGAGCTACCGATGTATGATGTATAGCGATGATGGAATTAATGATCGTGGAATAAATTATAACTTTATAGTCTGAAGTGTATTGAAAAAGAGCGATCTAACCATGGTGCGATTTGACCGTAATTCGTAAGAATTGATCATCGATTTGGGTACGAACAAACTCAAAATTGAGTACGAAACTTGAGCGCGAAACGACTGAATTGAGGAACTGTATGACTGGGTTCGAAACGACCGGATTCCTCCTCACCCATCGGGGATAAGATCCAAGAAAGATGCGAGTTTTCGTAAGCAATATATAAAGTGAAAAAGGTGAGATGAGTAGATAGGGAAGTTTGTTCTCTTCACTTTCTTAGGGCATTCTTGACGCAAATATTTTTTCTGGTTTTTGTTTTTGTTTCCTCCTTTTTTTGTCCTTTGTATTTTCGTTTCTTTTTTTTTTTTTTTTTTTTCTTTTTTTTTTTGAGAGAACATAAACGGCAGCCGTCTTAAAGCCGTACGTTTCAATTCCCACCATTCCGTGGAAGTGCTGTTTGGTTATTGAGCGTTTTAAAAATGGCGGCGCCCAAACTTGAACCACATTTGACGACAATTTTTGAACAACTCAGTTACACTCTGGAATCTCAAAAAGCGGTAAGTAGTGATATTTAAAATGTTTTACATAGTTACATAGTACTTGACTTCGGAAGCGAACTTCTTTATAATGGCCACATTCTGACCCACGTTTTGGTATTTCCAGCCAACCATTACAAAGTGGGATATATCAACATAAAATTTTCAAAGTCAATGAAGATAATGCATTGCATTCTAAGAAATAAATTTTACAATATGTTTTCGGGATCGGAACGTTTGTTAAATCTATTTTAGATAAAATTGGACAAAAGTAATTCTTGGCGATTATTTTCTTGAATAAATCCATTAGGCAAGGTTTGCTTGTTCCTGACCGTTTGTAATACAATGTGAAATATGAGCTCAACGTGGTTGAAATGTAGGCCTATTTATACTATTTTAAGAAATATTTGCTGACTATGCCAGCCGTAGAGCACAAGAACTCAGTATCTCTTATTATTTCAAGATTTGGGAGAAGACTGTTCACATATTATAATTGTAGCGTTTCTTTCCTTGCTCGTTTTCCCTTTTAGGCTTTAGAAGTAATGATCTGACTCCGAAATACATATCAGACTTTATCAGCATCTGTTAACCTTGGCATCATTTGCACTTAGCCTTTATCATAAAAACTGGTCGTACCGACTTCTAATTTGCATGATACCGACTTCTAATTTGCATGATACCGACTTCTAATTTGCATGATACTAATGCAATGTGAAATATGAGCTCAACGTGGTTGAAATGCAGGCCTATTTATACTATTTTAAGAAATATTTGCTGACTATGCCAGCCGTAGAGCACAAGAACTCAGTATCTCTTATCATTTCAAGATTTGGGAGAAGACTGTTCACATATTATAATTGTAGCGTTTCTTTCCTTGCTCGTTTTCCCTTTTAGGCTTGAGAAGTAATGATCTGACTCCAAAATACATATCAGACTTTATCAGCATCTGTTAACCTTGGCATCATTTGCACTTAGCCTTTATCATAAAAACTGGTCGTACCGACTTCTAATTTGCATGATACTAACCGAGGGAGGTAAGATTTAAGAGCATACAATTGTTGAGGGAACGAGACAATAATGTAAAATAAATCAGCCTTTGTGGAGAGTTTCTGTTGGAAACAACTCTGCGTAAGAAATTTATTTATCATTTCTATTTTAATTCCGATTATCATTATGACCAAATTTTAATGAGTTTTGTTAAACACATCCCTGCATGCTTTATACTGATCTTCGACAAGTTTGTACGTTTTCAATCTTTCTATTAAGACACCGCAAACAATGGGTGTGTAAAACTCGTTTTAATGTTTTAACTTACAGAAGCAGCGTTTTGGTTGACTAAATATTGACGCAAAAGTACTCGAGAAAGCTCACTCTAATTGCACTGATAAAAAGCGGGAGATTGATGGTTTTGTTTGTTTGTTTGGTTTAATTTTTTACTAAGCCGCTATTAAGATTATAACAAGCACGAACATGAAGCATCCCATGGCGATAGAGATAATATTCAGCCACTTGGCGATTTGTGAATTCCTCCAAGCGCCGTCGTAGTCTCTTGCTGCATATGAACTGTCCACCTGAATAGACAGCAGTTGAATGATCGGTAAGAGTATTAACAATAAAATTTTAGATAAAGTACTAAAATGTTCACTCCCAATTGTTGTTAGTATTAGTATTGTTTAGAAACTGTTCAAATACAATGTCGAAGAAGGTAATTTCGGATTTTGAAATAGAATTGCACCAAACGAAAATAATTAGAATTTGCCGAGGATATATACAGCTAAATAGACGATCATTCTTTGGAGGCTGTCTTTCATACATTACTTCGCCAGCTGAAACGAATGGCTAGTACATCAATGAGTTAAAGGAAGATTCATGAAATAGATTTTCTTTTTGAAATTGGAACATAACAGCAGCTACAGGACTCTTAGTACTGCACATTTTTAAACTAGACTGAATAATGAAATTATAAGGAGCCATTCACGGTAGGAAAATAATTTAGTTTTGGAGATTTTCTTAAATGATAGACAACCCAGTTGAGGCTACCTATTTCAGGATATTTCAGGATATCATGAAAGATACACTTACCATAATGGAGAAAATGATTGCAGCTATTCCAAGAATTGGGAAGCAAAAAAGGCATGTGAATATGGACAGGGCCAACCAATTGGGAGGAGGAAAAGCCATAGGCATGATGATCGTCGGAGCCTTCCAAAGAGAACAAAAGAGAAAATCAAAAAACTTTTTGAAATGACAAGAAAGCTCGCAATGCATGTATAGAAAGAGAACTGTGTTTTTACCCGTCCAGGGTATTCTATTTAGAGATATTTCCGTTTTTGATCGTGATTCTTTAGGAGAGGTGTAAGGGCTCGAAACTATGATGTCATAATTGGAGCCTTACATAAGGTCAGAAAAAGAGAAATTCTAACTAGTGAGCTAAAAATAGTGATATAAAACCCAAAAACGAAGTATATTTGGATTCCTTTGTGAAAATGACAACGTACAGGTTCCAGATATATCAAACTCCTCGCGTTCCGAAACATCCATGTTACATGCAAATTCCGAATAGTCGGATGCACTAAACGCGAGTTTCACGTTTAACCATTGCGAATTTCCGATTAAATAATGTCAATTTATGGTAGTTTGGCTCTATTGCTAATCAGGGAGATCCGCGCTCTTGTATGAGGGCGGTAGTGAGAAGGTTGCAGTCGCCATTTTGTTTAAAAATGTTTAAGGTACACAAGGGGTTTGAGCTTAAAGTTTTCAAGTTGACTATTGGAGTCCTATTTGTCCTCTTTATCCTTAGCAACTCTTGGGCCTTATTGGTTTATCATTATCAATTGCCAAATCTAATGGTATCCTTCAACCTGAGCGTAGATTTTTCACGCGCAAAATCAATAACATATAGCCTTTCCTTGATAGATGTATGGTACGCGAGTAAAATCCCCATTTCCTCTGGATTTTTCAAGTTTTCATGGCTAGCTGGTCGAGGAGGATAAAGGGGGTAAGTTTCTAGAGAAACTGTGGTGCTGCGTCAGAGGGGAAGTATAGCAAGATAATGTTGGTTATGTCGACGAAGTTGATAACGTAAATTGGCCTCTGTAAAGAGTTTCAAAGCTGACGTTGGAGCGAATGGTAAAACCAAAATTAATAAAACCAAAGTTATCTTGTCGAGGAGGAGTTTCAGTTCTGTTATAAAAAGCCGATAAGAAACTTACAGGTGCTTGCATGTTGACCACTGTGGTACTTTGTTGGACATGTTGGGTGGGCTGTGGAGGATAGCCTGGTTGCTGCGTTTGCGGGTAACCATATTGAGGAGAATACCCAGGCTGAGGCTGCTGCCCAGGCTGTGCTGGGTAACCAGGCTGTGCTGGGAAGCCAGGCTGTGCTGGGTAACCAGGCTGTCCTGGGTAACCTGACTGTGCTGGGTAACCGGGCTGAGCAGTACCACTGAGTTGAGGTTGGTAGGCTGGTTGAGCCGTAACAGGAGCCTGTGGTGTGTAGGGTGGAGGATTATCTGAAAACGGCATGTTTTAAAGATATCTTGATCAGTTATGATTGAACTCGTACATCACAACACTGCTCAGTGGACAGTGTCCATTGAAAGTGGTCAGAGTCGCCTTGAATTTAAAAAGGGTGCCTTGAGTTTAACGGGTCAGTAAAGTTGCAGCAATTTGAGTCAGTATATGAGAGTCGCACCTGGGTTCACTTGTGTGTTCTGTTCCATGTTCAGTTTTATTCTGAAAAGAAAAAATATACATGATTTTAGTAAATAGGAACGAACAGCCAGGTATACCATGGTTAAGCAGTATTATTTTCTTGGGCTGTTTATCCCATGATTACCCTTCAACGATTTTCATGTCCTCATTTTCAAGTCTCCGCGATTTGTGGAAAGGCGTTTGACTGTTCGTCTAAAGGAAGGATATTTTGAATCAGACTCAAGGAATAACTCGAACGGCAAGGAAGAGTCGAGAGAAATAGATGCCCTTCGACCACTATTGAATCTGATTGAGGTTTATGAGATCTGACTCTTTTGTTTGGTTATTGTGTTGCTAATATTGAAAAGTCGATGTAAATCTTGTGGAGAATTTTGAGCAAAGTAGAGGATAGTAACGCTTTTAAACTTTGGTAAAATTTATACAGAACGTGAGAAAACCATAACTGTAATATTTACATTGGTTTTATATTTACTGTTTCATGATGGCTTGTCAAGCAAGTATAATTAATTGTTTTCGTGAGCTAAATCTGTGTTCAATCGGCTATCGCCAATCGCGGCATCATCGCATCATGCCGATTCATTGTCGAAAACTCTCAACCTTAGTGGTTATATTTTGTTTTTCCAGATTATTGTGATAGGGTGTTTGAAGCTTAAACTTCCTCAGTAAGTTCATTAAGTTGAAAATACTATAAAATTACATATAAGACATCATTGCGTATTACTGGACTTGTTTCTATAGACCGTGACACACGAATAATATTTTTCAGATAGGCATTTCATATTTCGAACTTCTTTTTCAGTGTCCTACACAAGCCAGAATCGTCATCCTCGACTTGGAAGAATTAGACTTAGCGAGTATGTTACTTATCGAAAGAAATCTTGGGGAACTGGCACTATGCCCGACATTACAGGGCTTTGCTTGTATTGTTCATTATGATAATGCGCTGGAGAAAATGCCTGAATATTTGAAAACGGCGTCGAAGGTGGTCGAGCGAACGAGGATATTTTGGATTATGAAGAAGCACTGGATTTTCGTCACTCGCTCCAAGGAGACACGATGTTATTTCCGAAGGACCGCTCGCGAGAGAATCAAGGAATACTTTGAAAGTGTTTCTGTGCTTCATGGATGCATTCGCCGTTTTCTACTTTGCTTATAAGTATCTATTAATTTCGCGTGGGAATCAAACTGAAAGCTTTCATAATTTTTACCTAGTTTTTGCTTGATATAAGTTCGTATATTTATCTTAAATCGTTCAAAAGTAATCGGAAATCAACTGAATGCTCCGTCCAACACCTAGCTTAGAGTGCCACTTCTCAATTTGCAAATATCTAATATCTTGCACGCCGTTTAAGCAGAGACGCATGAGATACAGAAAGTAAATTTATGAACCACGTGCAAGTTTGTTAGATTCATAAACTTTTAGTATTTCTCAAAGTGATCAGTAGAACCCTCACAAGGTCTAAAGATTTGTTTCTTAGGGGAAGCTTTTTTAGAGGAAATCAATACCCGGACTCTTGAACAAGACATCATATTTGCATTTTACTGTAGTTTAGATGCGAATTAAAAGATTTAAACTTTGGGTGGATTCATTATAGACAGAATCTAAAACAGAATTTGTAGGATTCAAGGATTCGCGTTTCAGTTTCTAGCGATAAGATCCGAAAATGAGGTAATTTAAAAATTGCTAGCCTTCCTGTTTAAAAAGTAATGTCATGTGAGACTCAATCAGTGACCGAGGGAAATTTTCAACTGAATCTTTGTCACTGAATTGTCCTAAAATCTTGCAGAATTTCTCAAGCATGAGCAGAGGTTTGTGAAAACCTCTGACATATAGCAAGTCTTCGACGAGTGAAGTTGATTTCAAATAGGCAATTTAGCAATTCTTTGCTTCTCACTAATTTTACTTTGCATAATCTTCCACAAAGTAAAAGAAGCGGTGCCATGAAGTATTATTTCCCATTTTTAATTGCTTCGGTCAAAAGATGTCCACGTGATCTTGGATACGGAGTCCTGACAAAGACTGCATAGATTAGTTTGTTTCAATGGACAATTATAGCTACCAAGTCTGAAATTCATGAGCGACACGGTTCTAAAACAAAGTAATCGAAATTTCCGCTTCAAATGGACTTTGTCTAAATAGTCGACAAAGATCGACACTCTTCGGCATTTTACAAGAAAAGTACAAATTTGGTGTAAAGAACAATACTTACCGGTTTGTGAAAGGAAACGAGATATCTGGTTAAGAATCCTGAAGTCTTTCAGAACCCGCGGAACTGGAAGAGAATGAATGAGCGAACTTCTTCGACAAATCGCCAGGAGGTAACCTAACAAATGTAGCTGCGTCACAGGTCAGCGGTTGACATCATATTGGCTCAAGCAGTCCACACCTGTGTGTGGGAGAAGAAAACAATAGAATTAAAATCAAACGAATATCGTCTTAACTGTTGAACCTAGCAGTGTAAGAATCGAATACGTAAACACATTCTAAGAAGAAAAACTTTTGCATAGATCTTCATATATTCTGTGAGTATTTGAAAGCACTCATTATAAAATGGTAAGTTTAGATCTGCACATTTTAGAGGGATTTCTTTTCTTTCCCGGCATGCGCAAATGATGTGAGTTCTGAGAGTGAAATTCAGTCGCCCCTGGTCATGTGTCGCATTGTTGCCTGGCTCAAAATCGTCTTCTACAGGACCATATCGTCGTCGGCAGTGATTGAAGTTTCAAAAAATGGTGTGGAAGTCATTATCAGAGCCACTCTAGTTTGTGGATGTCTTGTGCTCAGGGTTTCGAAACGCCTAGCGTTGCCGCGGACACTGACTCATGCAGGTCTACCCTTGCCCGGACCGTATCACTCTATACAATCGACTGCCTCGCTGTTTCGCTGTCAACGGGACTCTAAAAACTTTGTTAGTGATAAAGTATTGTGATGTTTCAGTTCATTTCAACTTTCTTCAGAAAACAGAAGCAACATAATCATCCTTTTTTCCGCTTGATTTTTTTTTACAAAGAGAATGCCATTTATTTTCCGTCATGCGAACGGCTACTATAAAATTGCTATAACCAAGACCCAATATGCCTTTCTTCCTTTCATACATTCATCCTTGTGTCACACTACACGTAACTTCCCTGTCTGGAAAAAAGCAATCATTTACAAAAAACATCTGACAGATTGTGGCTTCTCTATCAACAGGTACAGTTTTAAACATTTATGACGTTTTTCTTCATTGTTATTCATAAACCTCATACAAAATAGTAGTAACCCATCAAGCCGAGAAAATTGGGATGTACGACCGTACGACCGTACAAGGTGCTACTTTTAACATGCGTGGTCAATTGTACCGCGGGGCACGCCAACGCTACGGCTTTGTTCAGTAGTCCAGTGGGTTCCGAGTTGGACGACCCGGGTTCTAGTCCTAGTCGGGGCAAGGCGTTGTGCCCTTGAGACGTGCGGGAAGAAAAAAGTGCGAGCTCCGCTTTTAGGCTTGGCTAAATCTATATATTAACCCTGTTCACTGTAGAAAACTGAAATAATTACGTATTTAGTTTTTTTAGATGCAATCTGAATTCAACTGATACGATAGGAATAAACATGGAACTACCTTTCCAATATAATGCATGTATCTAGTTTCGGTCAGCCTGTTGAGCAGCTTTATCAAGTTTCCACACAATTTCAAGCTTAAGCACACGTCAGTTGTTTGTGTTGGTGAGTTTGGCAGAGGTAACTAAAGAGGGGTACTTCTGACTTTGTCAGTCTGCAGGAGTCCACGATCAACCTCCCTCAATGCTCTTCCAGTTTATTCCGCTTCTTTAAAGCGGGCTGATTGGTACAAACCTAATCTACTATATTCTTTTCCAACATTTTCAATAAGAAATGGACTGATCGATTGAGGCTTGAGTTTTGTTCTTAATGCAGAAAGGGAAGGGGTACTCTCCCAAAGACTATGTATGAAATTGGACCAGATTTTTCAGGTCAGTGCAAATTGAAATATGAAAAAACTCAATCCTCAACCAGAGGAATACAAAGAGGGTGCGCCAATCCGTTATCTATGTTATTTTCTGTTTTATCCATGATTCAACTCTTGCCAAATTTCTGAATCTAAATTACACGACAGCAGGTTAAGTGTTACCCAAACCTGGGATGGAGGTTTGAAATCTCTTTTGAAATAATCAAATTGTCTCAAGAAGATTTACTTCACAGGCTAAAAATCCTCTACGATCGCATCTAATTGATCTTTAAGTTTGTAAAGAAATGATCACGGTACAATATAAGTGTTTTTGTCATATCATACCGGGCTTGGTATTTTTTTCTTTGTTGGAGACGATTTGTTTCAGGAAACTTCAACTGTGATACACTTTTGACTACAATTGCTTCATGGTGGAAAATTTTAAAGTTATTGTATCAACAAAAATGACGCATCGAAACGCATTGTTCGTACATACATACATACATACATACATACATACATACATACATACATACATACATACATACATACATACATACATACATACATACATACATAAGCTTTATTTATCCTCGGATTTCAGTGTAGCTTACAAGCTAGTATCTCCGATCCTAATTACTAATTTTAAAAGTTACAGGCTGAAAAGAGAAAAAAAAATTCATAATATAATAATATAATAATCATTAATATAATAATATAATGTAATATTAATGTAATATTAACAGAAACCGTGCACTAACAGTTTGCGCTTAAATTCACTATAATCTACAGTCTTTCTAAAGTGGTCAGGGAGGGAGTTCCAGTACTTAACAGATGAATAGCTAAAAGAATTTAGACCATATGTGGTTGTAAACGGCTTAGGAAGTGATAAAATATTGGTGCCCCTTGGGGAGTAAGCAGCAGATCTTAGCTTGATTAGTTGTTTCAAATAGCACGGATATTTACCAAGATGGAGACAGTTGAATATACAAATCATCATATTTTGTATCCTCCTGTTGGCTAAACCACACACACCTGCCTTGTCTAAAAAGATCATCATAGTTCGAGTCCCAGTCCTTTAAAACAAATCTTAAAATACGTCTATCTAAGGTGTCCAGTTTAACAGAGTCCTCTGAATTACAAAAGTGCCATATCATTGAACAGTAGTGAAAATGGGGTAACATAAACGTTTTATAAAGGCGAAGCATAATTTCGGTAGAAATAAGTTTGCCAAATCTTTTGAAGACACTGAACTGATTATTTATTTTTTTACGTACAGAGGATATGTGTTCCTTGAAATTAAGTTCATTATCAAGAATTATTCCAAAAAGTTCCAGGCATCTTGTGGTTGAGAAGGAGAAAGGGTAGTCGGTTTTGCCAAGAACTATCCCTTGGTGTTTAGCGGGGTTGGCTTTCATCCCATTGTCTTCGAACCATTTGTTTGCTATTTGTACATCATGATTGATCCGCTGTTCCAAGGCTACTGGGTCTACGTCAGATGTGTGCAGTTGGCAGTCATCAGCATAAGTGTTTAGTTTTACAGACTTAATGTGAAAGATGAGGTCATTGAGGAACATGTTGAAAAACATGGGTCCCAGGACGCTACCTTGAGGCACACCACGCTTCAAGCTCATCCAATCCGAATAAGTATCACCAATTTTCACTCGCTGCATTCTATCCGTCAAGTTAAAAACGCTTTACATAAAGTAGATATACAAAGTTTAATCTCTTCGAATAATTGCAAGAACTGTATTTTATGTAAATCTTAAATATTTTAAATATTATCAAGATCATATTATTGTAATTATTATTATCTTATTATCTCATTATATTAAGGTTATTATCTTATTATACAGGGTAGGGTATTATAAACATGGGGTCTACTATTTCGGGGCAGGGTAGTTTTATATGGGAAGAGCTCTTTTATCATATTCCAATAAATTTTTAATGCATAGTTTTATATAGATTAGATTAGTTTAGTTTAGGTGTCCTTACTTAGTGGGAAACTGCTATCTTATTTGACATGTAAATAAAGTTTTTTTTTTTATTATTATTATAAGTAGTCACCGATAAGGGCACAGCTGGATTCATGCAAAACATACGCTTTCAGTTTCGCTAGTAGCAAAGCATGAGGTACGGTGTCGAAAGCTTTTGACAAATCCATTGATATAACCGCCACGATCTCTTTATTATCTAGACTACGCCTCCAGTCCTCAGTCAGCCTAAGCAAAGATGTCTCACAGCTATGGTGCCTTCTGTAGGCAGATACGTATTCGGACAATATGTTTTGGTAAAAGTCGCCCATTTGAGCTGAAAGCAGCCTCTCGAAAACATTATTGAGCGCAGGTAAAACGGTCACTGGTCGATAATTGCTTTTGTTCAGTTCATCGTCCTTTTTAAATAAAGGAGTAACTTGACCTAATTTCCAGCGCGACGGATGCTGTCCTGTCCTGATCGAGTGATTCATTATTGCAGCAATAGGACCAGCAATCGCGTTGGCAGACTCTTTTACCAGTCGCGGTAGTATTCCGTCATGACCACAGGATTTGCGGGAGTTGATTTTGAGTAACAAAGCTTCCACTTGGGTTTTATAAGTATATTGAAAAGCAAATTTGTTTCTCACAGCGAGCTGTTCATTGTTGTTGAAAATCGCCCGAATGCTAGGATGCGCATCCAACTCTTTCCCATAACTCTAATAACGCCGTCCGCGACGTTGACAAAATAACTATTAAAGCTCCGCCATTTGTTTTTGTCTGTTATCACGACATCGTGTTCTTTTAATATTATGTCATTTGCTTGCGTGCTTTTCCTTGAATGCAAAAATGGGCGGTATGTGTCCCAAAACTCCCTTGGGTTTTCCGACTCACTTTTCTTGTCGAAGAAAGTTTTAATAGCTTTACGTCTTAGAGAAGTGCAAATGTTCCCTTGTCTCTTGTACAATTCATAATTAGTATCAGTTCTTTCGCGGATGAAACGTTTCCACAAACGGTTTTTCTGGCGAATAGCTTTGCGCCATTGTTCATTCATAAAGGGAACTTGATTTCCCCTTATGCGGACCTATTTCAAAGGTGCATGCTCACCAAGAATGTCCTCGTATAGACAATCAAACACGTAGAGCTTATCGTCAACGTCGTCAAATATTTCAGCTACTTGGAAAGGAACATTATGCAAATCATGTAGAAAATGCTGTTTATCAAAATTTTTAAGGCTTCTGAATTGTATTTTCCGAGATCGTATTCTCGGTTCCGATGCCCTGAGCATGGCAAACACAAGAGAGTGATCACTTATATTAACATGGACTACGCCCGATGATTGTGTTTTTCTCAAGTTGTCAGTGAGAAAAAGGTCCAGTAGGGTTTCTGATGTCTTGGTAATACGGGTGGCCTCATGTATTAAATTCTTCAAGTCGTAAATATCAAGTAGGTTTGCCATAACTCTACCATCCCTTGGCGGCTTGTCTGGTAGTAACATATCCGAGTTAAAGTCGCCTACGAAAAAGAAGTTACCAGGAAGTATTGTGATCGCCTCAAGTATAGAGGATAGTTCAAATTTCTATAGCGATTGTGGGACAGACGCAGATGTTGGAGGTCTACAGATACCGACGATGGTTTCCCACTTCTTAGCTATCCTCACCTTCAGCACAATCGATTCAGTCTTGTACCGTTCACGCTCACATAATCGAAGATTGGGAAGGTCTTTAATGACTTTAAAGCAGAGGCCTGCGCGGATATAGACCAATAAACCACCGCCATGTATGTTTCTGTCAGCCCTACACATTCGATATCCGGTGACCATAAATTGACTATCTGGAAAACTGGAATCCAGCTTCGTTTCAGAAAGTACTAAAATATCAAACTTTCCTTCTCATAGCCAATACTAGAAAGCAATTGTTTATTTTTTTCTGTTTGTTTGCTTGTCTGTTTATTTTTCCATTTTTTAATTATAATACATCAACAGAAATAAAAGGAATTACATATACATTCATATAATATGCATAAACTTTTTCTCCATTTACCTTCTAAGTTCTTCCGAGGGGTAATGGGTTAGGGATCAGCGTTGGGGATGAACTACGGAAGACGGAAGACGGAAGACTTGGTGGTAGGGATTTTCAATCTTATCTTTTTATTTCAGCCAGGTTACCAAGTTCATCCTGGTTACCTACCTCAGCCCGTCAGCATCCAACAGTCATCTCATAAGGGCGCAACTGTCATTTATTCAAACAATTTCCTCTGTAAACAGTTTAACCAACAAATCACGTTCAGCAGACAGTTGCAGAGGTTAATACAGGCATGTCAGTTCAAGTGAGATATCATGAGTCATGCATTAAGAGAATTTTTTCAATCCTTTTTTCGTTGAGAGATAACTCAAGAGTAACGCGCAGAGGTCATGCTTTTTTAGCGGGTGTCTTTATCGTCTTGACCAAAAAAAGTCACTACGTCATCATAATGAACACCACAAACCCCAAACTGCAGGCTGCCAAACATCACACATCAAATTTAACCATAGAACCACTAAACGATTAGCTTTTGTTTTCAAAATAGTCGTACTGCAGGAACGTGCACTAAAATTAGATTTAAAAAAATTTATCATTGGAATAGGGGTACGTATGGGGTATGAGTTCTCTCATTTTATAATCTCGTGGACAGAGCTAATCATTGTGGTGAACGAAAAATGTGGCTTGGTTACTCAATCGTTAGGAACGTCTTAACAACATTCAGGTGGCCAGGTATCAAGTCTCGTGGAAGCTAATCTTTTATTTATTTTCTTTTCAAGATTTTGCTTTTGAACAATTTCTCAAGAAATTTTACCTGTGAGCATCCGTTTGTCTCAAGAGCAACACTGAATTGTAAATGTCATTAACTTTTTGCGATTTGGTAGCCGAAAAGGCAAACAATAGACATGTTTTTACGTAAAAGACATCACCGTTTGAAGGCGTTAGACTCTTTGGTGAAAATCCCCGACAAAGTTGCTTGAATTATTGAAATGGTGCTTTCTTAGAAAGCTCCTCAAACCGGAGAAAAGATTGAAAACGTCGGCTATGAATTAAAAGGTGGACGGAACGAAGTCAGCCGTTACATGAAAGATTATGACTGGTGCAATTATTTTGAACCAAAATGCTTCGTTAATCTTTCTTTTTGTCATTACTGGACATATAAATCCCCATAGTATTTACAAAAAAAACCAGTCATTTTTAAGTGAATGGTATCATTGTGTGGCGGTGTTATCTGTGTCTGAAAAGGTAAAATGAGACGAGGTGTTTCCGCACGCACGTTTTCTAGACCCCTTCGCAAGTTCAGCAATTTGAAGTGAACAGAGGGTACCTCTTTCGCACCTAAAGGTAAGTTTAAAAACATTCAATATCATCCACTTTAAGTGAAGCAATTGAATTTGTCACCTACTTGAACTTTCGAGTTCATCTGGCTAAACTTGTCTCAGTTAGCAACTATGATGGCTTCTTAAATCTAAGTAAAATTTTAGGGGTTCTGAAATTACTTAACAGAATCGAAACAAACAAATTTCAATTATGGGTAGGTTCAGTCAAACAGTTCCCTCACCTCATGTGCGCCGCGGTTCCACAGGGTTGATTTTGGTCTATTACTGCCCCTGAATATTCCCTTGGGTAACCTTATTATCCTATAATACACTTGTAATCTCTAATTTTTCACAAAATCACAAGAAATACTCACCAATACGAAAACATTTCTTCCCTAACTCTGCAGAACGAACAATGTCTCGCCAAACCATTCTGTGTATCATCCTTTTCACTGTGTGTGGAATAACCCCAGTCATTGCAGCTAGTAAAAAAGTAATATATTGCCACAACCCACAATACACAGGTCCGATCAAAGAAGTATTCGAGATGAAAGCAACTAAGCTGGAAGAAGACATCCGACGCCGCCAAGGTTATGCCTTGAATTTACCAAGGCTCTGGTTTCAAATACCATAGGAGAAATCCCAGTTGTGAGATTTGTACTGAGCGCGCTTTTCGATGGACTCGTGGAACTATTTGAAGGAGATCTCGACCCGAGGACGTATGCAACAGTTGGGTTGAGGAAATCAACCGTGATTTCTCTCTCTTACGAGCCGAGATAAACATCAGCGCCCAGATTAGCGCCCATTACACATGCTAAACAAGACGAACCCCAAAGAATTTCTTAACATTTGTCCAATTTACGGACAAAGCGACAAAAGCAAGCTCTAAGTCGTTGTGATCAATAACCCACACTTTTACTTCAGCAGATGTAACAAAACAGGTTTTAGGCTCTCCTCCCCACCTCATTACTTTCTACGTAATGTCGCCAAAAATTACCAGGAAGAGTAAATGGCGAAAGAAATCTAAAGAGTAATTCATGAAAATTAAAAAAACAAATTTTTCTTTTTAATCCTTTATTTAAATCGCACTAAATCTTTCCTCCAACAAACTATTTTTACAAAGCTATAACGAGAAACAAACGAGTCTCTCTTTAGACCATTGAACGGCGCTAGAGGTTTGCACGGCTGTAATTTATCCCGGGTAATTATTTTCCTTGCCAAATGAAGCTAACTTACTGTAAAATTCCGATGACAAATGCTGAGAAGGAGTGATCAATACTTCAATGATCCGAAATTATTCAGGGTAATTTAAACAGTTTGAAATATCTAACAACAAGTGTGAGATGGAAAAAGGAATCCTTTATGGTGAAACTGTCGTTCTTTTTTCATCTACAACGAATAAACATGCCAAACAGTATACAATTACCATTATTACATAAATAAAAATTACAGCACTTAATTTTGCCAAAAAGGCATTAAAAAGTAGGAAGACTGAAATATACAAAAAGCAAAAACAAACAAAACAACCAAAACAAAAAAGGCAAGCAAAACCGAAAAATTTTTTTCAGTGAGTTTCAGGAAGATCATCCTTAATAAATCAGCAAAATTTTATAGTAATATCTATAGTTGGGATCCAATGGAGATATGAGTACAAAATATGTAGGCTAAACACTGAAGGAAAGTATACTATTGGAATTTTTGTAGCCCTTGTTTAAATTCCTCGCTTCAACTGAGGGATGCAGATCAGAATGGTGAGCACAACACACAAGCCAAATGAAATTGACGTCAGTGCCATTGTCTCAGCCTCATGATAGTTCTCAACCTCCTTCTTTTTTTTGCCATCTCCTCCAGCCTTTCGCGCCTGCAATTTGAAAGTGAAAAGCTTTAAAACAGCGTCCTAGAAGGGTTTTCTCGACGGCGTACCGATGTATGATGGGGCTTTTCATTGAAAAGAAATAAATGTAATATAAGTGTCTAAGGAGCTAAAAAATTGCTTGACTGGCTGATGGAATAAACGAACGAATAAAAAAATACGTGAATAAGTAAACGAATGAATGAATTCTTTGATAAATGGATGGACAAAGAAAGATGAACTACAATAGAATATTAATGACGGTAATGGTTGTCATAGTAATGGCAGTAATAGTTGTCATAGTAATGGCAGTATAGTTGTCATAGTAATAGCAGTAATGGTTGTCATAGTAATGGCGGTAATGGTTGTCATAGTAATGGCGGTAATGGTTGTCATAGTAATGGCAGTAATAGTTGTCATAGTAATGGTGGTATAGTTGTCATAGTAATAGCAGTAATGGTTGTCATAATAATGGCACTAATAGTTGTCATAGTAATGGCGGTATAGTTGTCATAGTAATAGCGGTAATGGTTGTCATAATAATGGCGGTAATGGTTGTCATAGTAATGGCGGTAATGGTTGAGGCATGGTATTGATAGTGCCTGTTATAACGGTTATGATAATGAATGTAAAAAGTTGCATGGAAAAAACAAACAGATAAATCAATGGACAGATAATGCCCGCCTGCAAAAGTACATTCGTAAAAATGATTCCTTCTTCTCCTTTCTTACTCGGGGTCGAGAACATATCTTAGACTTACCAATATCCAGAAAACAATGGAGACGATTCCAACAGGGAAAAGGGTCAGCAAAGACAACATAACAAGAGCAGTTCTGGTACCATCACTGAACAGCAGCTTCCTGCAAGCTTCCTGTTCGTTGAAAGAGAGAACATAGTCTTATTTTCTTCTTCAAATCGAAAACTCTTTGGGCTTTTTCACTCCAGAGCCTAATTTAGGTTATAAAATCAGATAGTCATTGCTTTCATTGAAATTCTAAGAAATAAAAAAGGAAAAAGGAAAAAGAAAACAACTAAAAAATAACTTTAACAGTGATAAGTTACGATTCGGTATGCAAAGCCTGAATACAATCCTTCAAATATTTTAACTGGCGCATTCGTTCTCCAAAAGCAGAAAATCGTTGAGTTGCTTTAATTCAGTTACAATTTAATTTAGTTTGAAACTTGTACAATTCTGCGATACATTGTACCACCGATGTATCAGAGCAATTGTCAATCGGGTGTCGGAAATACTGCCTGATTGGAATATTTTTGTTTTCCAAAGCTCTGAGATTAAAACTGGAAAACTTGCTCTTTCTTCTCAACCAATTATTTCTTACTTAGTAACTCACAATTTCCCGGGTTTGAGGTAATTTGCATAAATTAATTTTCTTTATTGATTATAAATATGTTTGCCTTATAAATCATCCTCAATAATAATTGGTTCTTGTGATTGCCTCTGGTTTATAACAATCGATTGAAAAGCGCTCTCTACGTATATTTATATTAACCCTTTAGCTCCCATAAGTGACCAAGACAGAATTTCTCCTTACAATATCAATGACAATATTGAGCAGACAAGTGATGAGAATAAAGAAAAATATCAGTTAGAGTATTATTAGTTGATCCAATACCAAATTTCCAAAACTAACATCAGAAGAACTGTATGGCAGACAGTAAGGAGAATTACTGATGAGATCTTGGGAGTTAAAGGGTTAATGCTTCTGTAATATTTTCGCGTAGACATAAATATACCCGGTATGCAGCTTCTTCTTCAACCCTGATGTGTTCCATTTCTCAGTAACTGTTGAATTAAAATAAAAGCCCGGGAAATTATCACCTTGGAGAAATTATAGATTTCATTGATAATAATGTACTCGTACTGTCTTTTTCCTTTCAAATAACCGTATTTTCATACAAGATAAGTTTTCGTAGCCTGGTCCTTTCTCTCGATAAACTTGTATTGTCTTTACTCTGTTTTAGTTGACTTTAAACACAAACGCGAGGAGCCGTTCGTTGCTGTTATTGATAAAAGCATAATCGTCAATTGAATCTCATTTTCAAGATCTATTAGCGAGACTCAGTCGTAAAGAATCGATTACCAGGTACCTAATTATTCATCGCTCCTTTGTTCTAAATGTTTTTACCAGTGATGGTAAATTTATTCAATCACGTTGTTGAGACAAAGCATAAAATAATGATATTCAAAATCTTATTTATATGAAATGCGAGAGTTTTGTGAATCGCGCAAAACGTTACCTCCTTCTGTTGGAAGAGGAGCGATCTTAAATGCGAATGAGTTGGGTATAAGTCCATAAAAATAACCTCAACGATGAAATTTCATTATGAAGGAGGACTGAATTAACAATAAAACAACGGTTCGTTGTGTTACGCCTGATAGCATAAATACTGTGCACTATTCATTGCCACGTTGCGAAATTTAAGCAGTTATAACTTGCTGTTTCGATTAGAATTCATTCAAAATGTTGTTAAATATTTCCTAGGGAAGCTTTATCGAACGTAGGTTATAGATTTTGAAAAACTTTATTTAGGAATTTGAACATAATCTTGACGATTACTTCTGTTGTGAGTGTGGTAGCGAATGAATTAACGAAATCAAATGAACACGTTTTAACCCACGCTTGAAAAGTATTTAATGGCATACACAGTGGAGTCTGTGAGACATAAAGCGTATCGCGTGATCACTACTTTTCAGTAGCTAAGGTAGAAGCATGATGATGACACATGCACAAGAATTATGAGTTAAGGGTCGCCTGATCACGACACGATTAGACACACAGACTACTGAAAACTTGGCGGCAAAACTAAGTCAATTGAAACAGTGTTTTGGTATTGCACAGAAAAACCTATGCCTTAAAATGACATCAATCGAAGATCCTAAGACAGACTGTTATATCTAACTCTTTCTGACACAGGAACACCTCAATTACTTGTTTATTTATGTCAAAATGTTTCAAGGAAATAAGCATTTCCAAATCCAAATCCGTCGATCAATTTCCTTCATCGGTTGTATTAAGAGTCACGATATTTATAAGTACATCTTTTGGGAGGACTGTTCAGTAAATAACTAATAATTAGTTCTCAGAGAATCGACATAAAGTGCTTGAAATTTTGCCGCAAAATAGAGTTAAAAGATATCAGAAGTGTTGGCGCATTCGTCTATAGTAAATTTAGCGTCGTCTGCCGAGTTCGCGGGTCATGGCGACTGTTTTGTATAATGCACATTGATCTTCAATCAAGAATGTTGTTTATGAGCTCAGGAAAGGAGTTAGCAACGTTTCTGTTGTGTTTTTCTTTTAACGTATAAAGCCGAACTCCACAAGAATCGATTCTGATTTACGTCGGAGAATGGTTGATATTTCGCCATGAATGCTCGAGTAATTCGACTGGATGTCGGAGTGTCTTACTACGGCCAAATGATTAATTTAGTGGTTACCTTTTTAGTCAGACGAATTCGTTTCTTCTGAGACTTGGTTTTATGGCAAACACTTCAACACAGTTTCCTCGCTGTTCAGACCGTTTAAAGGCGATAAAAGACAGAGCCGGTTTCAAAAAGCACAGGACGAGAGCGTGACCCGTCGTTCTCAATTGGTAACGCGGATTGGCAGTTTTGGATTAGCATGAATGGAATGCGCCCAGAGGTTCACTGAATTATTTGCATGATAATACAGGAAATGAAATGATGAACATAATGCATAACAGATTAGTTCAAATCGCTCTGGACTTTAATTCCCATGTATTCACATACGTTGTCTATTTTACAACTGTGTCGGTAGACATTGAATAGCGTGAAACCACAAACGTAAACACCCACACGGACATTTGTTGTACCCTTACTGGGCATGCGTCACTTTAGGCCAAATCATATTTGTTGTATGTTTATTTATGTTTGGTCGCGTTGTGACAAAGCCTGCACCACGAACAACAGGGGGGACGACGACCAAGTTGAGGCACGAAAAAGTAGCTCTTTTGCAAGTTGCCACACGAGCTAACCATACTAGGAAGTTAAAGAACAAAACTAAAAAAGTGAAGTAAAGTGAATGCAAATGTGTTTCCGTTTGGCTCGAGCCAACACAAAAAGAAATGGCAAATGAGTGAGCAAAGTGATCAGCGAGTCTAAAGGGTGTACTTCTCGCCGAACCGTGCTTTGTTTCTCTTGGAGTCTACCTTCCCCTTCGTAAGCAGTTTCTATTTTTCGACCCAAACTGGAGCTTGCTCGGAAACTGGGAAGAATACTGGGCGCAAGTTGCGACAGTTTATCAGTCAAGCCATGCAGTTGTCAGATCTACAGAACGTCTTCGGTGGCTACAGGGCTTCAATGCGATTAAATTAAAATATTTACCATCTTTTTAAAGTTTTAGTCGACTCAGATTTTGTTGAAAGCCGTTAACTTTGCTTCGCTTCAGCAGATTTTTATTTCCTTCTTTCTCGGTTGGATACCATTTTCTTCTACTCCTATCAATTCAAGATCTGATGTAAATATTTACATATTTGAACGGCAAAAGCACTAGAGACTGGATTATTCTTAAATCATAATTTTTCAGTCAGCCCTTACGACGTTTTAATTCTGCTTTAGCAAGGCGGAATTTTTTTTTGGTATCCGAGAGAATGAAATGTAACACAAGAAAAGAAGCGACGAGAAAGACAGATACTCAACCAACCTAATCGCGTGGTGAGAATTCGTGACCTCTGACGAAATATTTATAGCACGAGAGTTATGTTAATCACTAAACTTTAGTATACGCATTGTTTGACTGATTGAGTCTGACCCGTAACTTCACTCGCGTTTTTTCCTTTCTAGACGCAAATTCGTTTAGCCGCCAAGGAAATTTCTTTGGACGTCGAAAGAAGATATCTGCAAAACCTAAATTTAAATCTGTTAAGAACGTCTGGGACGAGTGCAAAACGTTTTGCTTCGTTGATTTTTTGAGGTAGGTTCAAGTCAAAGAGTGCGAGGCGCGGATATTGCTTATTTAAACACTGTAGTAAATGCTGAATTATTCAAGTAGAACTAGAAAGGATTGCTTGAGGAACAATTTGAAAGGATTTTAATTCCAAATAGCCGAAACTTTCAGTAAGTAAGACTGAGGAGAGGCTGGAATGGCGTTGATGTAGAGAAACTAAAGAACTGAAACAGTAATATGATATGATAGCATACCACAGGCATAATGGATAGTCGTCTACATATATTCAGTGAGACCCTGGGTCGACTGATATTAATTGACTTACGGTAATATCCACACGCATATGACATCCATACGTCCATGTTCGTCTGCGTATTCAAAGTTTTCTGTTAACAAGTAAGCGACGAAAAGTGCTATTCCACTCTGGCGCGCGTTTTTGTTAATTTGCGTACACCTTTTCTTTCCCCTCATTTGCGACTGGAATGGAGCCCAAAATACTGAGAATGAAAACCCTGTGCACATGTCCTTAGAGATAATAGCGCGGCGTGCAAACTTTTTTCTTTTAATCTTTCTTAAAATTCTGGATGATCGTATGTTGTCAATTTTTTTGCGGTTTGCAACTGGAAACTCATCATCTGGTAGTGAAACTATCTCCATTATTTTCGTGTGGCTGACATGCTGTGTGTTTATACCCTTGGACAACAAGCTTGCGGATATGTTTAACTGTTTAGCAGTAAGGTTTGCATATAAATTCTCAATTGATTTTCCATCACTGAAATCCCCAAGCCTGATAAACTAAACATTTAGGTTTGCTTTTTTGAATAGAATTATTCATCCTTACTGTCATGCACCGCTGTCTAAGCATAAAGACACTTGTTGTGCTTTTCAATCTATAGATCATAACTATAATACTAAACATACTTTATCAGCCTTTCTTGCTGTCGGTAGCTGAGGCCATCTTATCATACCACCAAATCTAACATAACCGCGAAATGGCGAAATGGCCTAAAAAGATGGATCATCTAAAAGCTGGCATCGTGCTACGTGACGATCAATCAAGTTCTGCGTTTGGCGCTGGCTCAAGACATTTTTGTTTGAGTTGTGAGCCAAGTTTCTGAGCAGGGAGAGCTAGGGATAATATCAGCTCATCTTTATACCTAGTTTTCAGCAGGGAGGGCCAAACAAGCCTAATTAAAAGTTGTCGTGGCTGTAAATTAAAACGCAGTGTCTTTGGGGCACACGTGGTAGAAGATGATTACATGCATGTTTAACAACACGCGCACTGATATTCAACCCACAGGGCGTGTTTTCTAAATTTATCCTTTGTACCCTTCAGAACTGCCGGGTGTGCTATTATTTTGCACGCCTGTTGAATAGACGACTTTTTGGCGCCAATTCAGGTGTTAAAAAAACCGTAAAAAGTGAGGAAGGAAAGTTTACTAGCCAGATTGAGAGTTATAAATGACTTCTTTGTTTTCAGGAATTGGATTAATTAATATCCAAAATGCAGAGTGGAGATAAGGCCCTCGAAATGGAACAGGTACGTCACATTGTGCATTCAAACGGGAATGTCACGGGAAGTTGGAGGCAACTACGATGTTTTTATAAAATTCATTGTTAACTTCCTATCGAACTCAAGGTGCAAAAGTTATCAATTTAACTATCAAGGCTGATTTGTAATTCTCTCCCCTCCCTCCCCTCCCTCCCCTCCCTCCCCTCCCTCCCCTCCCTCCCCTCCCTCCACCCTCGCCTGCAAACTTATTTTCCTATCACTTAGTATAGAGCATTTTGTGTTACATCCTTATAAATGATAAATGTGTCCATTCCCATCATCTACTTGTCTCAGAGTTGCGAGAGAATTTGTGCGGAGAAATTATCTTATCAGTAATTTCTGAAATTAAAAGGTCTGAATAATTGCAGGTTCATGAAGTATATTTTTAACGATTCTTTTTCTGCCCACACCTCGACTGCTCAGCTATGGAAGGCCTCGCACTTTACTTCTCTGTGTTAATACCAAGCATCAATTTGCGTTCATCAGTTCGCTTTTTCAAATCAAATTTATAGAAGTGATGATTATTCAGTCAGTTACATATCTGATCAACCTTTCTCGTTTTGATTTGAATTTTTTTTTTATTCACCGCTATTGAAAATTTTTTGATCTAGGTACCTGCTGCTGTTCAGATGGAGCGTGTAAGTGTTATTAAACATCAGTAATTTGATCAAAAATTTCCGTGATATTCTTACAACAATGAACTTTAGACCATCACAAATATACTTCATATCATATGACTACGCGGTGTGGCCTAGAGGGTCCAATCGTTGTATAAAAATGTCCATAAGTACAATCTCATCCGTTTAACGCTGGGTATAACTCGGTTACGAGGTTAACGGGCCAATCTAAAATCAAGAGAATTTTTTACGAATTTTAATTTAATATGCAATCTTGCAGAATCGCGAAGAAGTTTTATTTCGTTAAACGTTTTAACTTAAACGTAAAATTGCACATTTTTCCCAGCATGCACCTCTCCGAGAGGAACCGCCGAAAGACTACTTCAAACTGGCTGTGGTGTCCGTATTCTTTTGTCCATTGATTGGTGCCCTGGCGGTTTACATGTCACATTTGGTAGGTCGAGTGATATTTTTCTCTTGAATAGGGATTCAGGCTGTCCCTTGAATTAATTCCTTGTATCTTAATTGCCCTGTTTTGGAGCTACTTTACAGGAAGAGACATATCGATCTAACGGAAGCAGATATCTACTGCAATGTGTCCTTGGGAACTGAGAATGACAATTTGTAAAATGTCAAGAAAACTTGGTGAAATCGTGGAGTAAAATGCTTTGGATTGGCATTCCCCCACAAGAGATGTGAAGGTTTTCTCACGCTACAGAAACCGACGGTAGCGTCGATGAGTCACCCATTTACGTTCATATTTCATACGTAGAATTTTAAAGTCTTTAGATCAAACTTTTTATTAATTATGCGCATATCAATCTGCAAATAATTTGTCTCAGTTATCTACTGGAATTAATTGTTGATCCAAACAAAAATTAATTTTTTATTTCAGACTAATTCGCGATACGAAGAAGACGACATAAAAAGAGCAAATGATGCTTCTAAAGATGCGCGGTTCTCAGCATTTTTTGCCATTTTCCTCGGAGTTGGCATCATCTTCTTTTTCATTTTCATTGCAGCTATCGTGCCAGAATTCGCTTAGAAATTTTGGTGAATTTCATTTGGATGCTTTTCGAGGTCTTTTCAAATTGTAAAGTTGAGAAAAATATGTAGTTCTAATTCGAACTTGCACTCATTTGGGAAAGCATAGAAAGTACGTATGTTTATGTTCATAAACCTAATAATGTATTCGTTTTACTAAAGTGATATGCGATTAATCAGAGACAAATGGACTTCAGTACAAAATGCATGATGAAGTATGATTATATTAGATTTCTTCCCATTAGTTATCAGCCTCGAAAGACCATATATATTTTTACTTATTAATTAACATGTGTTATCGTATCCGAGGAAGTTTAGGCAATCTAGTTTTATTAGCCATCAACTTCTCCTCAAGCCCAAGTTTAATTATCGTGGAGAAGCACGAAAACTTTGCACCAATTGTATTTGACGGGTTGGCTATTTTTTGTGCTTTGCAGAAACAGTTTTTCTGCCGCTCTATATAACTGTAATTTTTCCTGGAAAACATGTCTAACAGAGAAGAAAATGCAATATCTTCAGTTTCAATTACTGGTTGAGTTATACCGAAGGATTTCTCCCATCTTCAAGAGCCCGGAAATCGTGTTCATGGATATTTCCAGTAAGACCAATTACGAAGATCATGTTGTGACACACGATTCGCCTTCTCAGTTCTTCACATGCAATTAAAATTTCTGTATACTATTTATGAAGTATACGCAAGCTCATTCCAATTTACATTTATCGTGTAAATGTCGCTTCTTTCCATCCTGTGGAATTTAAAGTTGTCCACATTACGGGTAGGGATTCTAAAGGGCTAAATTCTAAAAGTCGAAGGACTGTTCCCCTCATGTTACACCGATTATTTTTTTTATTAAAATATAGCACTGTATTGTTATTGTAATAAATAAGAATCAGGCTTTGCCTCCTAAAGCCAGAGTGATATTAGCGAGATTTGAGAATGTTACCGGCATAAAAGGAACGAATTGGGCAACCCCGAGCTGACATTGCTGTGACCCGAAAGCCCTTCTCTCCATAATCCTACACCCAACCCTCCCGCTACAATGAGGGATATCTATCTCACTTCGATAACTCTTTTTCAGAAAAGTTATTGTAATCTGAACGAACTCGGAACCATATGACTGGGTGAAAACCAATTCCCGAGTTTAAATAACTGACTCCAAAGATATTTTTCAATTCCCGGTTAGGAGAAACATTGTACCACATACGGAGAAACGTTTGCCTGCTTTCGAGCGTTTTTGAATGCAGACGTCAAAGTCAATATTTTAATTCAGTGTCACAGTATATCGTGCTCTGTTGTCCACCAGTTTGTCTATTGTTGAGCTCTCAGCTACTATTACTGCTTTTTGGTCTGTATATGATTATTTTGCTACCCGGCCAGTGTAAAAGTTTTAGCGTGTGAAATTAACTTATGGAACTCGATAAGTGATTGCACTGACGTAGTCGTTGATAAATTCATCACAAAAAAAGTGTCTGTCAAACTTTAAAACGCGTTATAATGCTAAGTGATTTTACTGGTTTGATGTTGGTAGCGCAGCAATACAAACCTCAATCTCGCTATCCTTTAGTTTTTGACGGCAGAGAGAGAGAAACCAGGCAACTTACTTTTTAAAAAGTTCCTGTTTATTTCAATTTTCAAGCTTCGAGTGTTCAGTTCTCGACATCGCATGCCCATGACTGTCAAAGTTTTGCATGAACAGCTTGTGTTTTCGTGGTAGTTTTATCAACATTTTCAAAAAGGGAAGATTGGCGTTATTACAGACAGCAATCAAACAGTCATAAATATTTAAAGCATCACAACTCAAGGGAACATTTCGTGCCCATTAAGCGAGATAAAATGAAGGTAAAAAAACGTTGACATGCATCTCACTCAACAGAAAATAACTCTAGACAATTTTATTCATTTTTATTCCGTTTGGTATCTTAAAAAAAGATTACAGAGTGATACATTTTACGGCGTTTTGTTGGTTACGTGGTAACGTTTTTAAAGCTGATTACAGGCTCGTTCATAATTGACGAGTTTTAGTCAGTGAACTGTGATGCAAATTTTGCTTTATATTCTGCTTTGACTAAGCTGGTACTGTATCACTTGAGTAAGAACGATTCTGAACAAGAACCTCAGTAAAAGAACCTAATTCTCACAAAGGTAAGAATATCTCTGGCGATGATAAATGAGGATGATGGCTACTTGCGCAACTCCATATCATCTACGTTTTCGTTTAATGTCATGCGAGTGATCACACAGTTCTCAGTGACCTCCGGGTTTCAGACCTTTTATTGAGTTTTTCGTCTTTACTATAGACACAAATACCCAAGTTAATAAATGCAGTTGAATAGTTCAAAATCCATAGGATTCCAGGAATCAATTTTCTTAATCTCTTTTCATCCCACGCAAGACAAAGAACGTTACTGATAATGAAAAATAGCCCCTTAGCTCTCCCGGAAAACTCAGAATCTTCTCAGTGAAATACGTGAAAACACTCTCTCTCTCTTTTACGCGACGGCGTTTGCCGTTTGCTTTCTTTTTTGGCATTCTTTGCATGGCGACAAAAACTCCGTTATATGGGAAAAGACAACTAAAAAAAGAACGAGTTAAAAAAAAGTTTTAGTTTACAAGTTGTTTATTTTTCCTTTCTACCGTTTTCAGGTAAGAGTGTCATTTTTCTGAGCACTATTTAAATTTATCCAGTCGGACGTAAAAATAAGAGACCATGATCGTGATTTCGGTTACTTTATGAGTTTGTTTTCAATACTCATTTTATAAAGTTATTAATTGAAATGTGTTTGGTTGTAATTGTAAGTCCGTTTAAAAAAACCTTTTTCTAAAAAAATTATTTTTCATCGAGTTCATCTTTGCCAAAAATTAAAAAAAATTGACTGGCTCTTCTATAAAAGGAGAGTTATTGGAACACAGCTGTTTCGGGTAATTTCCAGGCCAAGTTTTTAACGCTTTTGCTTGTTACTTCTTGATTTGTTTTGAACTGTCGTAGCTGTAAATGAATGCCCAGTTCCACCGCTAGATGCTCTGTTCTATTAATGTATGTACCAAGGTAACCAACATATTATTCATGTTTATTTTAAAGATGACGGTAGAAATTCATATCATTGCTGTGTTCATGACATCCTTGGTCATCATATTTACAACGGGTGGTAAGAATTTCATGACTTTTTGAGTAAAATTCTCTTCACATGTTTTAATGGCATTTTCTTGAAAGCATTTATAATTTAGTGATTAGATTAGATTTTAATACTCTTGCACTTAGTGTCCAATTGAACAAATATGTTCAGGGGTACTGACCAGATTGATTGGCTTAAAAACGACTTAAAGACGATTAAGGTTGTTTTTTCCTCTTACCTAGACATGAGAGACAAAAAGATATTGCTTCAGTGGAGACTCTTTTTAAGGACACCCCTCCTAATGTACTGTTAGGTGAACAAAATCTTGTTCGCTAATGGCGTCTGATATTTAAGAGGTCATTTGACGATTTGCAGGTATTGTTATCTGCACTTGCTATTATCCTGATTGGTGGCCTAAATATTTGTCGTCACCCCTCTCTTAATACCTTAATTTATAGCGAAATATATTTTTCGTCTTGTCACGAGCGTGGGACAAAGAAAAAATTCTGAGTCCCCATGAGGAATCGCACCTCAAACCTTCAGATTCCGCGCTTCGATCTTTATCTATGTATCTGAAAAGGTCAATCCTACTGTTGAAGTTCAGCTTTAATTTTTTGATTGTAGATAAAAAAATAAACATTCAAAGCTCGCTGGTTTCAATAATAAAATCATATACTCGCTTTATTTTCTAGCAGAGGCCTCCTTATGGGACGAGCAGAGGCTAATTCACGACCTGTTTCAAAACTACAGCAAGTTCTCTCGTCCAGTGGTGAACAGAAATGATCAGGTTGTGGTCACATTCAGGGCGAAACTCAAGCAAATAATAGACTTGGTGAGTGTGAATAAGTTGCAAAGAAATTAAGTGAACTGGGGGCGATTACCATATCTGACTATAGAGTATGACCGCCGTAAAAGGCCGTTCATTGGTTATCACGGGAGGTGGGTCTGAGGTCTTTTGTTGTTTCACGATAAAATTTACCTGATCCCCCAGAAGGCTCTGTAATATTCTTACGAAACCCCCCCCCCCCTCCTTATACTATGTTGGCGACGACTGAACTTCCCTCCTCCGTCCCCCACGTCTTCCGCCAAACAATCCTCTGTCCCCATTCTCCTCCTCCCCCGCGCCTCTCAGGAAATTAAAAATGACTGCTCCTCAAGTAAGTCAATAATTCATAATTCTTGACTGACTGAATGACCGAGGTATTCCAAACTTTGGATTACTTCTGTCATGATCAGTTAGACTTTTAGTTTCAACTCAGTTTTGTCTCTTGATTGAACATTTTGCTTTTAAGTTTGAACGTAAATGTCACCATTATTTAGCGAACACCTCTCTTTAAAATAACAAATATCGGCGAAGAATTTGTTTTCGTATTTTTACATGCTCTTCAACCTTATCCAGAAGGACAACGAACAACTTCTACAAGTCATTCTCTACACATATCAGGTACAAATTTTTCTAATGTCATGTTCTGAGATGTATGTGATTTATTCATATACTTAGTCTAATACTTTGATTTCCTGGCATTGTGAGCTACCCCTTTTCCACCTTTGCATCTCAAAGAAAATGACGCTGCATGTTAGATACATCTACCTTTCAAGTTCAAAACGAACGAAGAAAAGAAGCAAAAATAAAAGAGACTGAGAAAAGAGTGTCGAATCGTCTCAAGCATGTCTTTTCCAACTTTCCTTACGTATAACCTTCCTTTTCCTTCAACTCACCAAAACTCTCCTTTAATTTACCGCTGGGTCGAGAAAATTAAGTAAATTTTTTGGTCGTAGCATTGTCAAGGGATATGTAGCAAAGTGAGGGTAGAGCCCACGAATGAGTCGAGAGTCTCTTTTGGGACGCAAGGTTTCTAATTATCTTGCCTTTCGCATGTAATCTACAAGCAACCTCAACCCATACTGATCTGTTTGAAAAATCGGTTTAGTACTTTTGGTGTAATCAAATCCGTTGAAATGTCCTTCAGGAATGGACTAACCCATTACTCACATGGAACGCCTCTCTTTACGGTGGAACGGAAGAAATCAACGTCGACGCCTCGATGGTTTGGGTGCCGGATATTGTGCTATACAATAGGTATTTGTGCATTCCAATTAATAAGCATAATACCACGTGACGTTGAAGTTAATTATAATTGGCTGTTAGATTATTCCCAACATTCGTATCAATTTTAGGGATCTCTAATATACGCTGTGGTGGCAGAAAGGTCTTTTACTCTTAGCATATCATCAAATTTACTATTGCATTTGAGAAAATCTTCCCCGCAGTTACAACGCTATACTGATATTATAATTGCATGTGGTGCTAAGACCCGCGCATTTTATTTGCAAGAGCTTAGGACCAAGAAAAATAGATCAGTTAACTATTGACTAGGAAAGTCGTGGTTGGATTTCCTGTTATAATTACCATTATAATCACGACGATTTTGGCGATGACTGTTATCATTGGCACAAGAGTAATTGCACTTTTAATTACGGCTAAAGAAAAAGGTTGAGACTTGTAAATGCTATCTTCATTTTTTCTTCCTCAAAACTCAGCGCAGAGTTTACGTTCTCTGGTGGAACTCACAAGTACAAAACGGATGTTGTCATATATTGGAACGGAAGCACAATTTGGCTTGCACCCGCGATGTTTATCACGGTCTGTCACCTCGACGTGCGGTAAATTTTTATCACACGCTTATTTGATTTGTAACATTTCGACTGAGTGATAATCTAGCGTTAAAAATTATACCCTACGCCAGAGCCATCTTCCCCCAGCTGTATTTCCACGCCACCGTTCTTACTCCTTCTAGGCATAGGTATGGATGGGTTCAGGAAAATACTAAGCGGGTTCTACTTTCAGGGCATGTAGCAGTACTCACTTCATGTTTTGCAAAAATATATGAGCTCTTCAATCCTGCAAAAAGTCACTACTTAGTTAAGCATGGAAGTCCCTTCTCAAGTATCATTTCTGTTTATATTCAAGATATTTTCCTTTCGATGACCAGAAGTGCCCGATGAAATTTGGAAGCTGGACCCACGACGAAACACGTTTAGACATGCGCATTCTTACCAATGCCTCCAGTGACGACATCTACACGGAACATGGCGAGTGGCAGCTCTTAGGACTGGAGCAGAAAAGGTAGTGGTCCATCTTGTGCTTTGAGATGTCTCATTTAAAGAGTCTTTAGACTATGATTTTTTTTATCACAATATTTTTTGACGGCTTCCTTTATATTCATTCCAAAATTCAGCATATCTAGTTTACTACGTTCGAGCAATTTTCCATTAGATCCAAGCGAAAGCAAAGTTGAAACTTCTTACGAGGCCGAGAGAAAAGTTCCAACACCCTAAGAACTTCACGCTCTAAATAGAAACCTCAAAAGCAAGTTTAATTTCATTTTCAGGACCTCAAAGTTTTACGACTGCTGCCCAAAGCCGTACGTGGACATAACATATACTATCCACGTCCGCCGAAAGCCCTTGTTCTATACACTGTACTTGATCGTTCCCGCCATAATAATCACAGCCATGGTGCTGGTGGGCTTCTACCTGCCTCCAGAGTCCGGAGAGAGGATGCAGCTTGGAATTACTGTCTTGTTGGCTATGATAGTGTTCCTTCAGCTCGTATACCAAAATCTTCCATCGACTTCAAATAGCGCTCCCCTTTTAGGAAAGTTCTATATCGTCACAATGTTTCTGATCGCTCTTTCACTGGCTGCCACTTGTCTTGTGTTAAACTACTCCTACGGCCGTCATTGCGATGGTGAAATGCCCATGTGGGTTCGAATGATCATTCTGCACTGTCTTGGTCGAGTTTTTGGGTCATCCAACAATTCTGGAAAAAGAAGGCGAACGTCAATGAGTGGAAGAACGAACGAATGGAAGATTGCTGCCAGTATTCTGGATAAGTTCTTTATGGCTTTCTTTGCATTCATAATTACTGTGGTGGCATTGTATTTCTTTTACCAAGCCCCACACTAGTACGAAATCAGTGTAACACAGGCTATGTAGTCATTCAGAACCTACTGCAAAATACAAAGACTTTTATGTTCCGTTTTTGTTTTATTTTGTTTTTTTGTTTTGAGAAGTGTTTTTTTTTTTGTTTTTTCTTTTCTTGAGAAACTTGCGTTCTCCAGTGCTCAAATCAAAGGAAGATTTCCCTTTGTCTAGCTGGCATGCAGCATTTATGAGCGAGAGGAGGCCTGCAAAATGAACAACACGCCTACCCAGACAATGAAAAAGTAGGGAAACAAAGAGAAAAATAAAATTATGCAAAACTCAAGATGATGCAGGATGAACAAATTGCTCAAATGGACTCTTCCTGGTCGACAAACTCAGGTCATCCCCTGACCCTAGGGAGAAATTCTTTAGACTGCGAATATTTAAACAATCCACCCTCCCTCTCCCCCCCCTCCCCCAGCTGCAAAGTAGCATCATTGCGATGTCGGACAGACCTTACGAGAGAGAATTTTTTTGCCAATCACCACAATATATATATATATATATATAGTGCCATTTTTATCTCCCATTGCGCCTCTTTTAAAAGCAGCCAAAACGAGGAAAGTGATTAGTAATGCTAATTGAACTGAGTGGAAAGTAATTTGATTTGAAATCCGGCATACGCGTGAATTTAAAATCGAACGAGAGCGCAGCACAAGTTCGCTTTGAAATCACAAGTTTTGCAGCTGAGATAATGCAATAATTTTCCCAAGCCTTGCAACACATGTGTTGACTGTCATTTAATTATGAATCAATCCAATTTTCAATAGCTGAATTTTTGGTTGTTGTGCAACTGAGCTAGCGCAAAAATTTCCCATGCGTTACAATACTCGTGTTGACCTTCATTTGATGAAAGTTTAATCATCTTTCAATACATAGCATATGTTTCTGCCGAACAACTGAATAATCAACAAGAATTTCCCAAGCTTTTCAATACATTCTTCAAACTTCGGTGGATTAAATTTTGATCCTTTTTTTAACTTTTTTGTACGAGTCGCGCAAAATCCTCGCTAGGCGGTATGAACGGAATGATATCATGTCGCAGGAAATAATAACGGTAATATGTTTATTTTGGCTGAACGGAGTAAACTATTGGTAGAATGGATGGCTTTGATCCCTTCAGAAAACACCTATGAAGAATAAGTAAGAGAAAACTACATTGAGCCTCGTTTTAATTCTTAGCAGAATAACGCTTGTCACGAATAAAGCGATATGTGCGCGAACTTTGTGTGAAATATACTAGAAAAAAACCTATTGTGGTAGTTGTAAGCTATTTGTATCTAGATGTCCAAGTTATTTTTAAATGAGAAGATAGGTTTTGCATGTGGGTAGTGCGCGTTTGTTTTCTAGCAACTGAGTAAACAAAAAAATTTCTCAAGCTTTTTAAACCTCTGTTTAGTTTTGTTTCATTCTTAGTTATCTTAATTATTGGTCCCCTGGTATAAATATAAATTAGGCCGTGAAGGAAAACTACGACTGATGCAGTATTTACCGTCACCGTCAAAAAGAAGCCCGTGAAGAAAACTCTGTGCACTTCTGTGAGGTAATAGCTCCATTCAAACGTAGAGTTTTCCAAAAGCCATCTTAATAGTCTATTACTTTTTCGCATGGTACTAGTCAACTAATGTACGTCTAAAGAAGGTTGAATATATCCGCACCCATATAAACCTTACAATCTCCTTGCTGATGTTGTAACTTTTCTCAAGCGTTTACTTCCACTGGGCTCGTCCATACACCTCGTGTGTAGAAAAGCACGAGCCCATGTAAACGCAGAAAAAGTTCTCTCTGACTAAAATGAAATATTCCTCAAAAACAGCCCAGATTAAAGGAGTTAAACCTTGTTTGCAACCAAGTATATCTATTGACCAATGAGAGCGCGTCTGGCTTCTCGCTTATTTGAGGAATGGTCATGTATTGTGTTCAACTGGCCTTTGGAAAAAAAGAATTCCCCTCGAAAAGGTTCGAGAGCTACGAAAGCCAAAGTTCTACAAGACTTTCCTCCCTCTGCGGGTGGTTGAGTATTTTTAACCAACTTAATTGCCTCTGACTGATTTGTCTTTTCTTTTAACTGATCCAAAGGAACTCACCGAACAAAAGATGTCCCGATTCTTGGTTCCACTTCCATTGTTTTTCCTGCTGTTTATGGTGTCTGTGGTTCGTGGACAAGGTGGGTCGTCATACAGTTTTTCTAGTCTCTGTTATTAGGCTAAATTAAATGTGGTTTTATCGAGAAACTTCAGTTTGTTTGTATTGTCCATAATTTGATGCAAGTATCAAGGTTTACTTCCCTAGAAAAAGAGATACTTTCTTTGAAAATATTCATATTGTGTGCATGCTCGAGCATGCAATACAATGAACTAAAACGCGAATAAATAGCAAAGAAATGCCCGAAACAAAAGCTTCATTTTCTGGTTCAATGTTCTTTGAGTTTTCTTTTTCAGATGAGCCACTTTCGCCTGAAAAGTATCAAAGTCAGATTCGGGCAGGGTTTTCCACAAACTGGTTTAAGACAGAGAAACCAATGGAAAAGTACTCTGAGCAGAACATCAAAGATGTCCACAAAAGAGGGTTTCGTAACTTACGAATTCGATGTAGAGCAGATCTGTACTCATACGACTTCTCCACCGTCGAATTCAAACGGTTTCTTGGCTCTCTGACGACCGTTGTCGACCATTGTCTGAAACACGATGTGATTCCAATTATCTCCTGGATACACCACCACGCAGAAGCCTACGCTACAGAGAAGGATCGTGTCGCCTATGTTGGTTGGTGGACAGCTGTGGCACGCCAGTTAAAGGACAGGGACTACAGACTGAGTTTTAATCTCTTCACAGAACTTGGAATTGACACTTGTAAAGAGGAAGGCAAAAGTTGTGACAAAAGTCTTCGCAGGAGAACAGACAAATACAACGAGTGGACAAAGGATGTAACAAAAGCGATTCGAGGTACGGGTGGAAATAACGCAAAGCGAATACTCATTCTTGCGTCACCAGGAAAAACTGCCAAGGACTTACCTAAAATCGATCCAGAAATTTACAAAAATGATCGATATATGATGGTTGAATGGCATCTTTATGCTTCAGGGCCAAACAAAGAGAAGGATTCCCAGAAGTATTGGAGTGGTGATGGTAAATCTGGAGGCCAAGCAAATGTCGAAGAAGCAATTAGCTACGCGACGAGTTTTTCGAACAAGACTGGTCTGCTGACCTATCTTGGTGCTTGGATGCCTCACGATAACGCAAACGGAGGCATAACAGAAACAGAAGCCATAAAATTTGCCCGTTTCTTTGTTAAGGAGCTGCGTAAAGAGAACATACCATGGTCCCTGAACGTTCTGGACAACTACTACGACACCAAGGAAAGCAAATGGCGGACAGAGACTCAAGTCATCAAAGGTCAGCAGTTAAAGATGGCCAAGATTTTGAACAATATTCGTAAAGAAATGCCATAAGGCTATTTATTAGTTAACTTTACATCGGTACATTTGAGCTACTTTATTAAGTAAGCCCAGATCGTGTCAGCCATTTTTTTCGTCTGGGTCACAAAAAAGTAATAAGTTAGAGTAATTTTAGTCGTGTTCTGGGGCATGTTGCACTCCGTATGAAAATTTCAGTCATGGATTTAGAGTGATGCAAACTGCTGAAGAATCGTAATAAATCGTTTTAAAAGGAGTACTGACGCATTCGTTTTCTGCATAAATCATCATGTTGGGAGTATAATTTCTGGGCGCTTAAAAATATAAAAATTTTAGTCTAAATTCTCTTTTTTCGTTATTTGTTGCTTTTAGGGAAGATACGACTGTTTGCGGAATTATTTTCAAATCATCGATTAATTTTAATAAATCAACGGAACAAATAGACCTTCAACCGTAGATTATATTCCTTTATAACCTTGGTCGTTTTGACTGTCTTGATAGAGATCAGAACTTGCGACAAACTATTTTCGTCCACTTTTTAGAAAAAAAATCTTCCTTCTCATAATTGGGGGTTCTCTCAATTTTGAGGACTTTTTTCAGAAAAGCTTGCTGTCATGATGCTTGATGTCTTCATAGTCTCTAGTACAGTTGGAGGTGCATGAGTTGAGGTTTGTAACACGCCTCTTCCGGCTCAAAACTGTTGCGTGTCTAAGCAAGAGGTACAAGAAAGCCTTCCAATTTAGATTCCCGATTAATACAATAACAACAACGACAAGCAATTGAGTACTGTAGGTTCAAAATATTTACAAGTTATTGACTAAGTGAGACGTAAGTTTGAACCAATGTTATGCCAGAACATCAAAGTTGTTATCATTTCAAGAGAGAGAAAAAAACATACAAAACAAAAAGGAACTTATTCGTCTTTATAGCAGCAAACTTTAATTCCTTCGCCTTTCGTTCGTTCACAAGAGTCGTTATTGATCCTACATCCCGTTGTGGATCCACATTCACGCGAAATTTCACTGTTACCATGGCGGCTTTGAGTAGTTTAACGCCAGATCAGTCACGGCCAGGGAAGCTGCAGGCGCACTACCATGGCCGACAGGACGATAACTTCTCACTCCATGAAAAATGGCGTATACCTCAAATTTAATCATGGAGCAGAATATGAAGGAACCGCTTGTCTCTGAGTGCTACTAAATAGCGTGTGTCTTTGTAGAGATCATAATCACTTTTAAATAGTTGATTCAAAATCGCGAATGGCGCCTCCAACCATCTCTTTAAGCGTTTTGTAATTAAACTCTGAGAAAAGACAAATTTCTAATAGCTCGTCGAGGACCGAGAACTATACTCACTGGGAAGTTTCATAAAGCCTGCAGGTAACATGGTAGTCAAAGAGAGTTCGCACTGAAAAATATCGCCCAATTCTTACGTCATCTTATTTACGCACGGGCGTGGGTGAAAAAAGAAGTTGGTTAATAGCGGCTCAATAGGACTTATATGGGGTAAGCACGCGCGCTATGTTATAATAGTCGCTTTTTCAATTGCATTTCTCACATTTGTTTGGCATGAACTACCATTTCCTTTCCAGTACACTGACGAATTATCTCTTTTGTTTGACCCTGAAGTATAAATGTGCCACTCAGCCATCATATGTATCATTTTGATAAATTGTTGAATCGATTTTAGATAACTCCTGAGCATTTTTTCCTGGCGACGCCAAAATAAGTATTCGCTGAGCGTTCTTTCCCCCTGGGCCTTGGATTGCTTCTGTTACATTCTTAGTCCATTGAGTGTATTTGACGATATTTTTTCGAGGACTATTTTTGGAACGTATTCCATGAGTTTTACACGCGCCAAATCCCAGCTCTGTGAAAAGATTAAAACACAGTCTATAGTCCCTGTCCTTTAACTGCCGTGCCACGGCTGTCCACCAGGAAACATAAGCGGTGCGATCATTCTCTGTGGCGTAGGCTTCCGACCTTACGGTGAAACTAAGAGATAATTGAAACCATATCACGTTTCAGACAGTCATCACCTGTGGTCGTCAAGTTGCCAAGAAACCATGTAAAATTGAGGACGGAGTAGTTGTTTGGGTACAAATCTGCCCTGCATCGAATTCGTAAGTTGGTAAACCAGAGTACCTTAGTGGGTCATCGTGAGTCCAATTCTCATTTGGCTTGAGCCAGTTTGTACCGAACCCAGCTCGAATTATCCTTTGATAGCTTGCCGGTGGAATCGGCAAGTTACCAAATGTAGACAAATGAACGCAGAATATTTACTCCTGACTAACCGAGCGCGAGGGCTGCACCGAAGAATTTTCGCCCGATTTTGGCCCGTACAAAAACGACTGAGGGCCAATATTCCCCCAGAACGGCTCGAGTTAGCAAGTTTAGTAAATAGTTTATTATAGAGCACTCGGACCACAGTCGTTGACTGAATTTGCTGGCTTTCGAAAACAAAAATACACGGCTTATGACCGTTTCCGTGGAAACGGGACACGAAACTTAAACTGGACTTCAAAAGCTTCTGTCCGACTGTGGTTTAGAACACTTGGAAGTGTCACCACCCTACAAAAAGTGATCTGTTTACTCTATTGAGAAATAGAATTCACGTACAATGATAATGTCATTTCCGACCTTGAATTTGAATTAGCTGGAAATTAAATATTAATAATACGAGAACAATAAGGACTATGCCTGGTCAGTGCATCATGGGACATGATAGAGTTATATAGGACAGGTTTGTCACGTGAGAGACCATTCTAGGCCATAGTGTACGTGGTAGTAAATGCTTCTGCTTTAGCAGCGTGGCCTTTGTGGGATGGGCTATTCAGAGCGCGAGCCATGGTTCCTAACCAGATCTCCCGCCTAATTTTTCTCCACCAAAGGATTTTTCCGGCAGGTTTTTTTCTAGCCTCCATTGAGGCAATAACTATTTCTGTCGCTTAGCACTACTCTTTCTTTTACAGTGTTACTCTTTTCACTCGCATAGAACTGTAAGATCTTAAGTTGTAACATTCTACAACGTTGTCAAAGTTCCAGGCTCTGTATGGTACGGTAGTGTAATCGTGTGTAATAACGTGCCGGGAGCTCGGCCCAAACTGTCAAATAAAAGCTATGGTTTTTCTGTTCATTTTGCATACTAGGCAGTGGAGCTGAAATCGACCATTTCAAGTAAAGCATTGGATGACAAGTGATCCCTTCCTTATTCACGCGCAATTTCGTGCGAAAGGAATCTAAACAAATTTAACGAAAATGGTAGCCGATATCTCATAAAGAATGGGTACTTTTTCCATCCGGTTCACCAACCCCACAGTCAGAGCAGGTCTATGCTCTATCATGGGTTCTCAACCCAAATGATCGATGATGCCGATTTTGTAATTGACGAGGATTGCCATGAAGGATCTAACCAAACTGGAGACCACAGAACAGAAGGATACAGTATTAGTTTCCTCTGAATTTGGTTTTCAATATATTTGACCTCATTCTAGTTACAGTCGTATTATAGTGACTGAAATTATCCGAGTTACATTTGGCGTGCAGACGATTGCTAATCCAGATTCGTCTACAGTATATTATCAGAATTTATGGCATTAGTTCACGAATATTGTCCAAAATCATGGACATATTCAATTTTCTCTTTTGGATCTCCTGGTACCCTGTCAACCATGTCTTGTTTGTGGTGTTATAGTAGCGATCCAGGACGTTCAAAGACCATGGTATGTTGACTTTGCCCAGCTCGGCAACAAAGAACCGTGCGAAGTTGATGGCTTCCGACTCCGTTATCGAACCATTTTCGTTATCTTGCGGCATCCACGCACCGAGGTATGTCAGCAAATCATATTTCTTCGTGTAATCTGTTGCTTGTTTAATTGCTGTTTTGACTTTAATTCGGCCTCCAGAAGTGCCATTGTCACTCCAGTACTTCTTGGAACCAAGCACTTTGTTTGGACCAGATGCATAAATATGCCACTCAGCCATCATATAGGAATCATTTTTATAGATTTTTTTATCGATTTTAGATAAGTCCTTAGCAGTTTTTCCAGGGGATCCCAAAATCAGTATACGCTGAGCATTGTTCCCACCTGTTTTACGGATCGCTTTTGTCACATTCCTGGTCCAGATGTTGTATTTGTGGGTTTTCTTGCGAAGACTCTCGCTACTTTTGTTGTTTCGTTTACAAGTGTCTTTTCCAAGTTCTGTAAAAAGATTAAAACTCAGTCTGTAGTCCTTGTCTTTTAACTGCTTTGCCACCGCTGTCCACCAATCCACGTAAGCTATAAAGTCTTCTTTCATGGCGCAGGCCTCTGCTTGATGGTGAATCCAGGAGATGATTGGAATCACATCGTGTTTCAGACAATAGTCGACAACAGTCGTCAGGTTGCCAAGAAACCATGTGAAGTTGACAGCGGAGTAGTTGTATGAATATAGATCTGCCCTGCATCGAAGCCTTAAGTTACGAAAGCCTTTCTCATGGACGTCTATGATGTTCTGTTCCGAGTACTTTTTCTGTGGCGACTTTGATTTGAACCAATTTGTGGAAAATCCTGCTCGAATCTTAGCTTGGTACTCTTTCGGAGAAATCGGATTATTCACGTTCATTACTGAAAAAAAATTGAATCGACCAAGAGCATTAGATAGAATGTTATTGTATGTTCGGTATGCCTCAGAGTTCGTTCACCAAGCAAAAACAACGATCCCCAATATTGACTTTTAGTACTATACCGAGAGAAGACAAGAGGTACACATCGAAACGTCGTTTAAAAAACAATTTCAATTTTTAAAAATAGTCCAAACCAGACAAAAACACTCAATTTGTTTTAGAAATTTGATCTCAAGCATTAGGGTGCGGAATCCGCAGGTAAAAGGTTTGACTCATCAGCCGTGGAGCGGGTGCTTTTTTAACTTTCGAGTGTTCTTTTAGCATCGTAAGTGGGTTGGCACGGAGAGGGACCTATACATTTGAAAATCAAGTCGCTGATTCTCAATAAACCGGTCAAAAAAGCGAACAATCGGCGAGTGCGAACAATGAAGGCAAAAAAAAAAACATCATTACCATTAGGCTTTCTTCAATTTGGATAAGGAAAACGCAAGCTTTGTGGTAAGAAAAAAAGTCTACCCCTATTCCTGTGAATTCGGTTGTCATTCATTCATAAAACACATGATTTTAGCAATTTGTTTTCCAATTGTCATGAAAAAAAAGGGGTGTTTTTTATGAGCCACAATTCCGCCGAATCTCACTGCACATTTCACTTTAAGATTCTGTATTAAAACTGAAAACTTCAGGAAAAAGTGTTCAATTCGACCTGCCGAACTATTTCAATTTGTGAATTATTGCAGATATGCGACCAATCAGTTTATTTGATCCATTCTAACGAGGATTGTGATTGGCTTATTGTTGCGTGCTTTATGAGAGTATAGAGCAAGCTTACGACACTATTGTTGGCTTTAGAAATAAACTCTGCTCTGAAAATTGAATGTAATGCGTAGGGAACTAAACGGATTCTTTACTATATAACAAATGGAGAAGTCTTGACTCAAGAAGCACTCAAGAAGTGGGGAGAAACACTCGACTACCACTAGTGTTTCTCCCTGCACTTCTTTCGTGCTCCAGTTGCTTCCTACGTGCTTTACAACAGAACAAAGCACAGTCAAGGCTTCTCTATATCTTTGTTAAAGAAACTATTCACGTCACATTTTAATTAAAAATTGTTGATGGACCCACCTGTTTCCCCGGTTATGAAAACCATAAACAGCAGGAAAGCTGAAGGTAACAGGACCAATGATCCGAACATGTTGTTTTCTTTCGTCGATTCCTGTCGATCTGTATAGGGGAATTTGAGAGATACATTTAAGACCTTGTGTCCGAGAGGAAAGTGTCGTTTGGTGAGCCACAGGATTGCTAAGCGAAGAAGCAATTATTATAACATATGACGGGTCTCGTAAACGCAAGAAGTTCGTACGTTTTTCGCTTCGTTTTTCAAACGGTGAATATTATTTTAAAATGTTGATATACCCTAAAGCAGAATTCAATGGGATATTTTAATTTTAGAATCGTACAAATTAACAATTTCCATCACAAACTTACGCAATTTACTGGCCGAAGTTCTATTAAACAAAGCATACTGAATCTACTACGCAGTCTTAAGAGGCTGTCTCTCTTATTTCCACCCGGTCAATTTTGCGTCAAAAATAATTCTGCCTGAAACTCTGTTAACAGAAAGACTTAACCTAGGAAAGAACTAAATTAGATTTGGTTTGATTCGAAATAATTTTCTGACTGCATTACGGGCCATAATTATTTCCCAGTCCGTAGGGACCGTCGCAACGTCTCAAAAATTGAAAAATAGGCATATTTTGTAACGTTGTAAAATATTTGATTCGCATAGTTAAGCCACAGAATTTATATCAGATTGCTTAAAAACCTTTCTAGTTTGCCAAGAAAGTTAGAATTTGCCCTCTCGACATATTTGAAAAGGCGAATTTTAGCATATTCTGACCACTAGAAATCGCCATCGGCCGATGGCCGTAAATAACCTTGATTTAGACGCTAAGTTTTGGGATTTGGGACCTGGTTGACGATTCTATCCTACACAGCCGTTAAGTTTAGACCTTTATAGGCAAAAATATGCAAAAACCCCTGTACGTTTTCGATTTTTCAAAAGTTATGACCATTTGAATCAGCACATGTACGAGCATTCGCGATTTTTTCGCCTACACCAAAATCGAACCACTGGAGCAGATTTCGTCATAAATACAGCTTACCCGCTTTGCAGCCCGGCTTCATGGCTCACTTCAGAATTTTTCGAATAACCAGATTGGTGAAATCCATGATAACTTCAACAAATAGCTAGGTATTGCCTTCGAAAAGTAGGCGGCATCCATCCTGATTCGTGGTATCAAAACAAATGCCGGAATTGGCCACATTTCGCAATGAATCACCCATTTAACATCGCTGCAGAGCTGAATTTTTTCCAAAATCAGAATATAAACTCTCCATGTCTGGAAGCTGAGGGAGAAATGAAGGTTTTAGGCTTCTGAAGTGAAGAAATAATCGCTCAAATTTAGATCCAGTTCGATGTTATACTGTTCTCACAAAGGTCCGCACAAAAGAGAAGACCGCTGATAGCTTGTGCCGTACGTTGTGCCATATGGTTTTGTTTTGTATCCCAATGTAATATTTGGACAGAAAATTTTGGATGAAAAGAATAAATGCTTTTACCTGGAGTTTGATATCATATAATTAATAAATCAATTTCAAATATCCTGAGCTTGCTTCTCTCGGTTCCGCGTCGATTGTGTCCACAGAACAGCAACCTGTCAATAGCCGGAGAAATCGGCTACCAACGTGTTAAAAACTTGACACATGCTTCGTATGAACAGATGTTATAAGTGTTGCTTTTGGTAAATTTTCAATCGATTTCATCAAAACATTTCACTGACTACTAGATATTATAATATATTACACTATAACAACGCCGTCAGAACTTGATATCGGAAGTAAAGGTAGTTTGTATCTGTAGAGCATATTCTACACTTTCAGCCACCGTATAAGACATTGTTTACATAAGTCTACTGAGATACACACTGACAATCACTAATCACGTCAGACAGTTTGTCTATGAGGATCTGTTTTTTGTCTCTCAATTTTACAGGGATCTCAAAATGACTACAGATGGCTCTCAACAAAACCACATTGAATTTCTGAAGTGTGTTATTGTGGTAACGTTCACAGAGGTCCTACGTATCGCAGCAGATTGGATGTGAGACTTTGATCTCTTTGTTAACTTTGTCTACCAGATCTTATTTCTCGGAATTTTCCTGGACGCATTGGATATCTTCCTCCTCATCCAATGATATCCCGATCACACCCTGATCTTTTCGCCGCATTGCTGCTAGCCGGGAGAAAAAGCTCTGAACTTGGCTCTTTGTCAGCCACTGTTCTCTAGTGAACAAACGTGCATTTGATTCATTTTTCGCATTTCGCATGTCCATTGCAACTTGGGCGGGGTCGGCCTTTCGCCCAGTTCTTTCTCCAAGTGTAAACCGTGCCGTTAGGTATTCTTTTACCTTCTCTGAAAATCTAACGCTGCCCCTTGGTTTGCCGCTTACGGCCCATCCTGTTCGTAAAGACGAGTGGGGCGAAGTATCCACGGGAGAAGTGAGTGGTGTACTAGAATCTAACGAACAGCTCGAACACTCGATACCAGCGGTATCTATCGACGAGAACTTAAGGGCCTAGTCCCTTTTGATTGCATCATACTGGCTTTAACCTGCTGACTGTATGCTTTCCAACGTCCAGGTGCAGCTCCAGCTGCGAAAAGGTTTCGAACACTTCAACACATCCAAACACAGAGCATTCAAACAATGGCGTTGTACTCTCTGTTTCCTTGCTGCCCTTTGAACGACGCTTGACCACACGCTTTTCAGGAGGATCATAAAACCCTTGAGATTTTATGGTTTGAAGGGACGTTTGACCTTGGTGCTTGATATAAATTACGTCATATGGAATGTACTTCCCTTTACCGATGCCATAACATTTCCAAACTCTCAGACCGATATCTCCATATTCGAAGTTGTGGAAGCTACTCAAATGCTCAATCTTATTTGTACAGAGAGTGTTCTTTGATTCGTCTACTATTCTTACTGCAGCTGTTGTTCCCTTCACTGGGTGTTTCGTCAATGCGTATCCTCTGTCCAATGAAAGCTTTAACAACCTCGCTGAGGACTCGCTACAGACTGAAGCCTCTCTGGTTTCGAAAAAGCACTTGCATGCCATACTACACTTGCAGGCCTTCCAAAAAAAATAAAGGGTCAGCGGGTTCACCCGCAATGATTAATGCGGACCTCTGTTATGGGCGTTAGTGCAATCGTACAGCTTTAAATTCCAAAACGCGAAACTTCGACACATAGACCTACAAGTGGAGTTCTATGACTGATTCTTTAAGAGAATGCAGCTGCAATCCAAAGTTTCAACGGGACATTAAGCGCGAAACATGGCTTTAGTTTTCGAGTTTAGTTCGCAACAACGAGTCAAAGAAGAGTATCGACAGATGCCGACCGCTGAATTTTGGAGGTATTTGCTAGAGTAATCATAAAGTCTAGTTCACCAGTTTGGGAAGCGAGGAATATCTGAAATTAATTCACATAAACCAATGATTTCTCCGGCTATTGACAGGTTGCTGTTCTGTGGACACAATCGACGCGGAACCGAGAGAAGCAAGCTCAGGATATTTGAAATTGATTTACTAATTATATGGTATCAAACTCCAGGTAAAAGCATTTATTCTTTTCATCCAAAATTTTTCTGCACAAATATTACATTGGGATACAAAACAAAACCATATGGCACAACCTACGGCACAAGCTATCAGCGGTCTTCTCTTTGGTGCGGACCTTTGTGAGAACAGTATAACATCGAACTGGATCTAAATTTGAGCGATTATTTCTTCACTTCAGAAGCCTAAAACCTTCATTTCTCCCTCAGCTTCCAGACATGGAGAGTTTATATTCTGATTTTGGAAAAAATTCAGCTCTGCAGCGATGTTAAATGGGTGATTCATTGCGAAATGTGGCCAATTCCGGCATTTGTTTTGATACCACGAATCAGGATGGATGCCGCCTACTTTTCGAAGGCAATACCTAGCTATTTGTTGAAGTTATCATGGATTTCACCAATCTGGTTATTCGAAAAATTCTGAAGTGAGCCATGAAGCCGGGCTGCAAAGCGGGTAAGCTGTATTTATGACGAAATCTGCTCCAGTGGTTCGATTTTGGTGTAGGCGAAAAAATCGCGAATGCTCGTACATGTGCTGATTCAAATGGTCATAACTTTTGAAAAATCGAAAACGTACAGGGGTTTTTGCATATTTTTGCCTATAAAGGTCTAAACTTAACGGCTGTGTAGGATAGAATCGTCAACCAGGTCCCAAATCCCAAAACTTAGCGTCTAAATCAAGGTTATTTACGGCCATCGGCCGATGGCGATTTCTAGTGGTCAGAATATGCTAAAATTCGCCTTTTCAAATATGTCGAGAGGGCAAATTCTAACTTTCTTGGCAAACTAGAAAGGTTTTTAAGCAATCTGATATAAATTCTGTGGCTTAACTATGCGAATCAAATATTTTACAACGTTACAAAATATGCCTATTTTTCAATTTTTGAGACGTTGCGACGGTCCCTACGGACTGGGAAATAATTATGGCCCGTAATGCAGTCAGAAAATTATTTCGAATCAAACCAAATCTAATTTAGTTCTTTCCTAGGTTAAGTCTTTCTGTTAACAGAGTTTCAGGCAGAATTATTTTTGACGCAAAATTGACCGGGTGGAAATAAGAGAGACAGCCTCTTAAGCATGTAAGAAATTCGTTCGTTTTTAGCTTCCTAAGCAAATTTACATTCTTGAAATAAAATTTTGGTCTCGAAATATTTTCTTGGTCTTTTTGCCTTTTCTTTTATTCATAGCTTTTGAGCCGGATCGCGATTAAGTGATAAACCCGACACAATAAGAATAAAACTCTTTCTTCAAGCACGGGTTGAGTCCGTTATGTTATAAAAGAGCTGGTTCATGCTTTTAGTTATGCGTATATCGAGTTATGGATGCACTTGGAAAGTTCAGAGAGCACTTAAGAAGCTAAAGTTGCTCGGGGCGTAGCCGAGAGTAACTCTTACGCTTATCTCGTGCTTTCCAAACTTCCCGCGTACATTCATAACTCGATATACGCACGCTAAGCATGAGCCAATTCTTTCTTATAACATATCAAGGGGGCAAGTCCTACGTAATTCCTAAGGAGCTACTATGGTAAAAAAATCCTTATGTACGCACTGCCATGCATCCATAACACGACGTGTGCAGTTTCACCTTATTTTAGCTGCAAGTGCCCGTTGAGTATAGCCACGAGGTTTCAAACCTTTCAAAATTTTGTTTCCTTTCCTCCTTGATTGAGATAGACCTTTTGGAGCTCAAAATGAAAAGCAGATATACTAAACAAAACTTATGAGAATGTAAGTCATCTCTCTGACTTCAAGTGAGGCTTTGCGACGTAGGGACCAATTCTTTAAAACGGTAAATATAATTTTTAAGTGTTGACATGCCCCAAAAGTAATTTTCAATAGGAGATTTTGACTAAAATCGTACATTTTTCACGAATTTCAGCGCAAAGCCTTGCAATAGGCCATTTTACAGTTGTGTACTAGGCCAAGCCTTTTATTTGGAGTGAGGCTGAAGGTGACCTTGCTGTGATAGAGACCAGTATCTAGTTAGCATGATAACAAAGTAATTTGCATTTGAAAAGCAGGAAGGTTTGTATCATAACAAGGTCACCCTTACAGCTTCATTCCTGTTCAAAGGCTTGGCAACCAAGCACACAACTGTGAAATGGACTATTTTCGAATCGTAACTTCTAGTAAACACAAATTCAAGTAAGGCGAATCAACTTGGAGGGTCTCGTAAAGACAATAAACTCGTGCGTTTTGCGCTTTGTTTTGTTTTTTTGTTTTTTTTTTGGTGAGTATTGCTTTTAAATCTTGCTGTGCCCTAAAAATATTGTTAAATAGATGATATTAATTTGAAATCGCACAAATTCAGAATTTTCATCACAAACCTACACAATTTCGTGGCCGTGAATGCTAGTAAACAACGATTCAAGCATGCTGAATCTACGACGCGGTCTTGTACATGCAAATGATGCGTTTTTCTCTTTCAGCTTTTTCTCATCATATTTAAATTTCTTTAAATACATTTTTGGTCTTAAATATTTCTTGGTCGTTTTTGCCTTATCATTAAGTCATAGTTTTCGGGTAGATCTCGATTACCCGGGAAACCCGACACAATAGTGATATTTTAAAAAACTCTATCTTCCAGCACAAGTCATGCTTTTAGTTTTGCGTAGAACGAGTAATGAATACACGCAGGAGGTCTGGGAAGCACCAGGGAAGCGTAATAGTTGCTCGAGGCGCGGCCGAGAGCAACTTAAGCTTCTTGATTGCCCTCCAAACTTTTGCATGCATCCACAACTCGATATACGCACGCTAAGCATGAACCAAATCTTTCAGGCATTGGCAGAGAGTGCGGCCTAGTACGAAGAAGAGTTTTCATGATAATTCTGCCATTCTATACCAATTATACCCCTGAGTATGTTTTAGAATTGGCTCTATGTTGGTTGAAATAAATAAATCGCTAATGTCACGGGAGCTAGATCCTTTTTGGAACAATTACTCCAAGATAGTACTAAAGCTTGAAAGTTGAGCTTTGTTGAATTAACTCTAGCGTGACATCCGCCATTATCGACTATTCTTCATGAAATTAGCAAGTATCCGAGGCGTGTGGCTTGTTTTTATTCACACTTAAGTTTATATCAAATTCATAGAATCGGATTTTAAAACAAAGGAATCTTGTGGTTTGTTTTGTCTCTAACCGAGGAATTATGGATGTGTTCGCTTAGATATTTCAGACAAAAAACATGCAACTTATGTCCCTGTTCAGAGGAGAACTGATTTCAAGTCATTGAAGACCTTTATTCCCGTGAAACATCGGTTACAATGATACATAATTATCATTATATTATTATTATTATTGGACTTGAAATAGGACTTAACCACCAGAACATGACAGACATTTCTGTCACTACATACTCAACCAAAACCATCATTTTCGATCCCTAATCCCAAGTATTTCGTAGGATAGTAGATAAAATCTAGTCGTCTATGAAGTAAAAAATGGTTTTGAAGAGTGATAGTGTTTGTCCCTAGTGTAGTTACCTAGTAGTCAAGGTGTTGCTGCTGACATAATTCTGTAGATCAATCAAATGAGATCTGGAGGGCTAACCCTTACATTGGCCAATAGGCCATTTCCGAATTACCTTTAGCCTCTTTTTCATAATGAGGCCTGGTACTCGAATGAAAATAAGTTTAATTTGCATGTGAATGAAAACTTATAATCCTGTGAGGAGTTGTGGACCAGGACTCGCTTTGAAAATAAAGGGCTATTTACATAAGCTAAATATCTTGTTATACCCCCAACCGACACAACACCATACTATGTTTCTTAAGAAACTTACCCCCTGAGGTCTGAAATTGCTCAGCTGCCGAGGCACTAATGATCTAAGACCATCTAAGATGAGCTACGTTTTAAGGAAATAGGTGTTACTAAAGTTAGGCCCGCGGCCCCAGCGTCCGACCTCATCAAGACCTGTGGCCATAACAGGTTGGCCAAAGGGCAATAGATTCTAAAATGTTGGAATCTTATTCTATGTTAAGTTCACAGAAGGCAAAAATGTCCATTGTTTTCACGATAGAGGATCGCTACATGAGAATTTTTGGTGACAAATCTTACTTGTCACAGATCCAATTTATTAGATAAATGTAATTTTTGGTCAAACATAGAAATTAACCCAAAACCTGGTTACCGAAAACGTTTAATTCAGTCTTAACTCAGTCCGAAATAATTCCAAAATGTCCACTTAGAGAACAAATCGAAGTGGCAGCGAACCCCTAGGCTCGTAAATTGAACTATCCCGGAGGGGTGAAACGTCGAGGCCACTGAAAGGACTTCGTATTGTAAAATTTACGCGTATAAGGAAGAAAATGTTTTATCAATATCAGTCTACTAGCGGAAACATGTTATCACATAGAAATATATTACAAACTTTGGCAATGGACAGTACAACCCCGCTCAAGTGAAAGGTCCCAGGAGCGATTCCAAGCGATGACGATTTCTTCTCCAATTAAAATACACGTTTTTCTGTTTTTTTTCAGAACAGCACCATTTATTGCGCAGAAATCGACATTTAAGCAGCCATTACCGAAGCACAGCGTTTGTCTCTCCTTTCCCAGCTTTTGCAAAAAGGGAAGGTTCTAATCATGCCTGAGAGCAGCTCATCGATTTTGTGTTTTCGACGTTCATGCATTCAATTTTGGGACCAAGATGGCGTATATACAAGGCATCCAAATACTTAAATATGAGACGGCTTATAGCCATCAAGCGATATATTTATCCGACGGAGGGAAAATTGAATTTTTGGTCCTACCAACAAATCAGAAATGACTTTTGACCATATTTTTGAATTGAAAAGTAACCCAGCGCCCAGTTAAAGTAAACAGAGTTTCTTAATGCTTGAGAAATTATTGTGCATTCTAAGTCGTTCTCAGAACAAAGCACGATCGGGAAGTGAAGACCGTGTTAACGCATGAATACTCATTTTCAAGCTGAATTTGCAGTAGTGTAGGCAGAACTTTCAGAAATATTGTAAAAATTGATTATTTAGCTTTTTCATTCCTGCTAGGATTCCTAATCGCAAAACGTTCTAGAATTTCAGCGCGATCATCCACCCTGAAGCTGGAAAGCCGTGAAAGATAAACATTAAATCTGATCTTGAGAGATCTTTCATTAAAGCGATAAAAGAAAATAATATACGCAGAATATCATGAGTTTGAAGAGAGAGAGAGTTTGTCATTGTGAAGTTACTTACTTGTCACGGTGCTGACTTGTTTTTTGAAGATCAGGCAACCGAGATCAGGAGCAGTTCAGTTGCAGCGAGGCACTAATGATCTAAGACCATCTGAAGTGGGGACTACGTTTTATAGTAATGAGTGTTGCTAAAATCAGGCCTGCGGCCCACGTCTTACTTCATCAAGGTCCCCAGACCATAACAGGTTGACCTGAGACCAACGTACTCGAAATACTCCGAATCTTATGGTCTGTTAAGTTCACATGTGGAAAATTCCCTAGGGTTTCATGTCTTACTTTTTCCCAGATTATCAGCACATAACACTTTAGTGCTGATTGTTCAGAGAATGAAATGAAAGTCTTTCCTGCCGGACAGATTAACGTTTTTCGGAAAAACAGGGAAATTGAACCAAAACTTTTTCCGATTCACTTAACCAGACCTTAAAACGAAAATGTGCAACTAAGTCTTGACAAACTCCGAAAAAAATTAAAGATCGGCCACGTAGAGAATGGAAAGTTATTCCTGTAACGACTTGTCACAGGCAAAAATCTCCAGGGAGAGAACTACCCTTTGAAAGGTGTAATACCTTGGTGTCTGCCCTTCTGATTGCGGAGTGAAGCAAAAATGGAAATTGATAATGAACATAATGTGACGGCATTTTCAGTTAAAAATATCGCTCCGATTAAGACATGGAAGCTGCTTGATAACAGGCACTGAAGAAGCTCATTACTCAAACAAAGCATTTGTCTACCTTTCCCTGTTTTTGAAATAAAGGGGAGGTTTTAGTCATTCCTAAGTGCAGCTTATCGATGTTATGTTTTTCGGCGATGGAGTATTCGCCATTGGGACCAAGAGGACGCACAGAAAAAGCCTATTAATAATGAAATGACAGGCTTAATTCCCTCCAACATTATATTTATCCGATGGATATTTATCTTAATGGGGTCATAATAAGAACTCGTAAAATGGCTTTCAGCGAATTTTTTATTTGAAAATCAACCCTGCTGCGACATAGCAAAGATATAAAAATCACCAAGAATAGAGTTATCTTATGAGCAGTGTGAATACCCTGGTGCCAGCCCGTCTGAGTGCGGGGCATATTAATAATAAATAGAGTGTAGTTGCACTTTCAACCAAGAAGTATCGCACCGAAAAAAAATAAACTATTCACTACTTAATGATGAGTTTGCAATTCCCGAAAAATATCTTAAATGTTCAAAAACTTAAAACCGACGGCAAAGAGTATGACAGGAAGCGCAACTTTCACTTCTTTCGACAAAAAATATGAACAAATTAATGTCATCGTGGCACGAAGTTTCCGCTCCAGGTTCCCAAGTTGGAAGGATAAAAATACCTGTCTGCTTCCGTAAGCTGTGACAAAGGGGTTAAATCTTGCAAAACTTTTCGTCAAATTTGGTCAGGAAATCTTTGAGACAACTCAAATGCCAATGTTTGCGGCCTACCTGAGCTCATCTGGTCATTTTCTGGTTGTTTTAAAAACTAGAATGGAAGTTAGTGACTTTTGTCATGTGGGTCTAGGATGGATATAATCACCTGGTTAACATGTTCTAATGGGAAAAACAGTAAATATATAATGTTAGTAGGGACAGCTTACTTAGTCATTGAGGTCAAGATGTCATCACATCTCTTAACTCTTCAAATTAAATATTCCAAGGAAAAATTACATCCCT